ATATGTTGTTTATAAATATTTTGGGTCCGCTATCTCTATATATCTATAAAAAACACTGTATGTATCGCTTTTTCTCTCTCTATAATCATCATTAATATTAATGTTAGTGTTTATATATAATATAAGTTAACGAAAAATTTGGGAGAGATTTGTTATTATATATTATATAATATAAATCTGTTTTTTATGCAAAGTAAAAGTAAATTTCATTTCACTCCAATAATAGTAATTGTGGTTTAAAACTGAAGCCCTATTTTTTAAGTTAATGTTTATATTTGTTAAGTAAATGCCTATTTATACGTAGGATTATCCTAACCTCAAGTATACATATTTTATATACAATACATAAGTTTTTCTTTTTATTCAAATTATTTTATTTTTGTTTTTTTAATTTACAAAAATATTATATTATAAGTCAAACCCATCAAACAAATTGAGATATAATTGAAAAACTTTTTGTAGTAATTATAATGGTTTTGGGTTTTTTGGTTTTTTTTGTAAAACAAAAGCACAATTATTTTCACTAAAATTATTAAAAGTTGCTTTTCATTATAATTAATACTAATTTATCATTATTTATGGTTAATAACTTTTTCTGTACAAATCTAATCGATTGTTTAATGCATTTCAAAAATATTTTTATATGACAAATATTAAATCCCATTGAATTAATTAGAAATTAACAACAAATTTCTTAATATTATACATTTACTCATAATAGCTTAATAAATAATATATATTTAATAACAACAAACAGTTTTATAAAAAAAATCTATTACATATCAAGGAAATAAATATGGTTTGATTAATACAAATATGTTTTTATTAAAAAGTATTTAATATTTATATAAATTTATTATTAGCTATATTTAAAAAAGTAATTCCAAAATTAGTTCACAATTAATTATTTGCAATATATTTTGTTTCAAAACATATTTATTTCATTGTATATTGTTTTTAATTTCAGTTGATTACATATATCAAATAAAATAAAAATTAGTCAAACAAAAAAAATAATTTTTCACTCTATTAAAGTCATGTTTAGTATTAATTACAAATATAAATGATTACATTAAAGAGATTATTTGTAAATTAATACTGATTCATAGTTAAGTTTTAATATTTTTGTTTAAATTTATATTTTAAAAACAAAAACAATTAGCAATTAAAACAAAATAAAGAAAACAAATTATGAATTACTGCCCAAAAAAAGTTGAGAGTTATTCATGTAATTCAAGCAATTGGGTTCACAAATAATTTGTTGTTAATAAACTTCAAACAAACAAAAACTTTTAATGTCATCACACAATAGGGGGTTTAGGGCGCCGGGGCTTTACCTGCAAATATCTATAATAAAGGGCCGGTTGTAAAAATATAGATTTTTAGGTAAACTTATAATAAATATCAATTGTAATGATATGTCGCTAAAACAATTCAATTATTAGCCCAAAAAAAATTTGTTTTGACCAACTTTTATCAGTAAAATTAATCAATCATTTTAATTGGTTTTTATTTTGAGAAAATTGATTAGATTTAAAATTCATACTTCTAAATAATTAAAATACTATTTTTATTTTATAAATAAAGTTTATACTGTGTATAGGATGTTGATATACCGTATATTAGCTTTTATTATCATTTTTCATATCTTTAAGACAATTAATTTTTATTTTAGACAAACCGTTTTGTCTTAAGTCAATGACCGTTAAGACAATGTTATAACAATTTTTTTTATCAATTTATAATTGTGTTCAAATTTCTTACGCTTATTGCTAACATTATTATTGCAGTTATTTATTATATTCAGTATATTAGATCATTATCTACAGCTATATAAGGAAAAATAGTTGTCATCCAATTGATCGGATGTTTTCCCAAAAGATTATATAAATATATATTATATTTTTAAAGTCATGTATTGGCCTCTAATGCAAGCTATGCTTCAGTGATCCCATTACTTCATCATTATATTTGGTGAGAGAATAGTCAGTCTGTGTTTACAATTTGTTTTTTTATTTCAAAAATCAAATAATGTTTTATAAATAGTTTTTATGCATATTTTGTAAATAGAAAACAGACTTTTCCTAACTTTGTTTTTATTAAGTTTTATTTTTTTATTTTTGAAAAAATAAAGTAAAACAAACATTACTTTCCTAAACCTATAGGTTTTTTGTCGATATTATTTTACACTTAAATGTATAGTCAAAAAATCAAGTTATATTAAGTCAGTTGTAAAATATCACTTCATATAATAATCGCTGCAAACATGGGTTTTATATAACATTCACTGAAAGTTTTTTTTTCTTTCTTTCGTTGAGATTTCTAACGAAAGCCAAATAAATCATTCATTTTATTACATGAATAGCAAAAAATATATATTAATATATTTATATAAACTCTATTTATATATACATATCATTTACAGTGGAAATGATATTCATTAAAATTAGAAACACTTAATATTAAATTTATGGCATTCATAGCCATAACCGATGAAAATTTATATTCAGCTCTTAATTAATGAAAAAATATTTTTGTGAGAAAATATTTATATCACTAATTAATTAGTCTTTTTATACCCTTAACATATTTGCATTTTAGTTTTTTAGTTTAAATAAAAATCATTTAAGTCATTGGAAATATTGTTAATCAATATCGACAATCTGTGTCTAATAAATCAATAATATTATTTTCAAATTGTAATATAAAGTAATCGGATAGATATTTATATATCAATGAATAAATTATAACCAAAATTTTTTTTATTGAAATCAAACAAGAAAAACATGACTTATAGTGAAAACCAATTTATGATATAATAATTGATCGCTAGATTTATTAATAGCAATACAAAGCGTCAATCAATCGTAACCTTCAAACCTAATTAAACAAAACTGAATTACAATATATTTATTAATAATTATATTGTTGGCTATTATAAAAATATGTAATTAATGTCTTTAAATACACAAATGTGTGCCACAAACAAGAGAAATGCAATCAAAGTATAAATTGCACACAAAGTTGGCGTTTCTGAAGAATAATCTCAAAGAAATTCAGTCAAAGAATTGCATTTAAAAAAGTTTATATGTTTGCGATTAATATTATAATATTGTATTTAATAATAATAATATTATTATGAATTTTATTTTTAATATTATTATTATTGTTTTAGTGGTTATTATTTGAAACAAAATGCTAACACATATAAAAAGCAACAAAAAAGGCAATGAAATCATGACTTAATGAATATTTTATGGAAAATTCATTTCAAATTCTAAATGAGTTTTTCGCCACAAAAATGGGTTCACAAGTAGTTTATATGTGTATCACAACAAACAAAAAACAAACAAAAGTTTTTTTTGATAATTTTTTAGAAACAAATATTTTAATAATTATAATAAATATATAGTATTATTATTATCATATAATGCATTTGCAAATCTTAATCTCATCACTGGAGATATAATATATAAAAACAAATAAGTTTTTACAACTTATATTTATATGTGTTTCAATGTTTATTATCTTATATCAAATAAGTGCCTTATTTTTTATAGTTATTTTTGTTGTATAGTATATGATTTACAATTGTTACTATTGCCCTCCAATTGTTTTAATAAAATGTGTGCGAGAAAAAAGTTTTTCTTAATTAAAATTCATTGAAATAATTAATTTTTATCAACAAATTTATTAGACTATTATCTAAAGCAACACAAAAAAATCGATTAAACTTTAGTTTTGTTTCCTACAAAAAAATATAATGTATTTCCTATTTTTTAAACACAAAAATATTATAAATATTATAAGTATATAAAAAGCAAATATTTTTACGGAAAAATAGATTATCTCGACATTGCATCTAATAGTAATAAGTGTGCACTTTATTGCAATTTTTTGAGAAATTAAATGTATATAAATTTAATAGAGTTATCAAAAACATTTTTTAAGACAATTTATTTTAAGAGAGAAAGAAAGAAAGAGAGAGAGAGAGAGAGAGAGAGAGAGAGAGAGTTTTATCAATAATAATGATATTGAATGAGACAAATAAATTATCATATGCAATAATTATAATTCAATAAATCAAACTTAAATTAATGCTTACTTTTATAAATATCATTTTATATAATATACTGTATTTAATACAGTATTTAAATTATAATTGAATGCATTTGGATTAGGAGAGTAAAAATAAAGACAAAACAAACATTTAAACCCTATATTTTATGTCAAGTGAGATCTCAATTGTAGACTTAAAACTAATTGCCAAACATTGAAACAAAACCACAGAAAGTATTTTTGTGAATCAAATTATATAATCGTAATTAAGAGTTAAGTATTGGTTTATTTATTTTTTCTTTTATAAATTTATAAATAGGTCTTCATATGAATTATGTATTATAACGAAAAAACGATAACTGTATATAAAATAACAAAAAATATCATTTTTAAATTGTTATTTGTCTGATAATTATAGGGCCACTGTTTAGTTAGAAGACCAACAATTAGAGCGATTGATTCGCAAACTTATAATATAAATGATATTTAAAAAATTGATACATAAGTAGATAAGCATTTGATTATAAATAATTGATACGTCAAACGAGTCATAACTTATACTAATAACATGACTGAACATTAATCTAATTAAAGATTAATTGGGATTTAATTGTTATTACTTTGACATCGATTTTATCTAACAACTTGAAGCATATGTTTTAATATTGTTTTTTATTTCAAATAATTTAATAATAACATAAAAAAAGTTTCGTTATAAAACTATTTTTTACAATTAGGAAAACAAAAATTAATAAATTATTGACGAAAATTATGAGAAATTAAAATAAGATAAATTTTAAGTAATTAACTATAATTTGAGAAAATAGATTTAAAATCAAAATTAATTTTATACTTTTTATGAAAAGAAATCAATGAGTATTTTCGAATTAAATTAATAAAAAATTAATGAATTAAAGATTATTTAAATTAATTAAAAACCGGTCATTAAATAAATAATATTTAGCCCAAACTGTTCAAGAATTCAATGTCTTCGGCATACAAACGGTTCTCATCGGTAAAGATTTGACTAAAATAATAAAAGTATAGTTAAGGTCACAATTTAAGTTATATTGTAATAATGACTAACACTGATAGGCGTCGGTGCTCTAGAGGCCAATCACTCCAATTGTATTGACCGCCGTATCCGTTGTCCATTGATCTGCCGCTCAAATAGTACTCGTATTCATCATTAAGCTTCTGGAGCTGTTTCATCACTTTTTATAAATAAAATTAATAATATTTTAACATTGAATTCATTGTTTAATTGATTACTTACGTGCCATACGTTTGTCATAATTATGTTGATTTTGCGCATCGATGGCCACAATTTGGTCACATATCTCACGACTGTCCTTTTGTTTGCTCTGTAAACATCACAAAACAGTTTGATATCATATAATACTTGTAAAAACAAATGAAAACAATTTGTTGCATACGTGAAGAAGTGACAAATTTGTCATTTGTTTGGCCAAATCGTGCATATCTTCAGTAATTTGTTCCCTATAATGAAATCAATAAAAAGTCACTATTAATCACTTAATTGATAATCAAAGATATGGTATTCAATACACAGCCAATGACTGTTGCAATCGTTTTTCGGCCAATTCATGGCTCAACTCTTCAATTGAACGCCGACTCCGATCTATTAGTGACTCGACTTTTTGGGTCTTCTCTTCCAAATTATCGGATTGAATCTTAATATGTGACAACTGTTGGACAATCTTGTTGTTGTTGTCCATCAATTGCATAACTTTAGACTTTCTCATTTCCATCTGTTTCTGCATTTGTATGGATTTGGCGGCCGTTTGGCATAACTTATTGGTTAACAACTTCTTGTTATTTCTGAGCCGAATCAGTGTGTCTTTAGCTGTACTGTCGCTGAGACACTCATTGGTGTCTCCCTTAGCATACGATTCACTCATTGTTGTCCACAAATCGGGTGTTATTTTCGGTCAAAAGTCTCTTTCAAATCTATTGTCGAAAACTGTTTGTTGAGAATCACTCGTCAATCAAAATGTCAATCAAAATGTCAATCAAAATGTCAATCAAATCACTTCAACACTGAAATCGCGTTACAGTTTTTCAACAGTTTTTGTATTACTATTCATTCAAATTAATTAATGCATTGTTTTCTATGAAAAATTGTTTTTCAATTAATAAAATATATTTTTAATTTAATTTAATTATTTTTTTTAATTATTTATTTTTCTTTTATCGTAATACTAATGTTTTATTTGAATAACATGATTGAAAAATTTGATTTATTTTTAAAATATATTTTTTTTAAACTGTATAAACTTATTTTTATTTTACTTATATCTCATAGTATGATACAGTATTTAATTGTTTGTAATAATATTAATGTGATTTTGTTTGCAACTATAAAATGATAATTTGAAACAACATTTAGACCAAAATCTGTATTCATAGGAAACAGTTGTGTTTGAAATACATCGTGAAGTTCATGTCTTGAACTTTATAATCAGATTATAAAACTTCTTAAAATCAATTTATCAATAATTTTATTAATCCTTTATAATATTTTTTTTGGTTTCATATTTTATTATTTGTATTTAAATAATTTTTTAAGTCGAAAAAACTGGTTTTTCATTTATTTGTTTGATTTTTTAATTTACAAAATCAAATTGTATGTACAGTATATTTTAACATTTAAGAAAATATTACTTAAATATTAATAGTTGTCAATAAAAATTTGCTAATTTTGTTTAAACAAAACTACTAAATTACTACTGTATATTAAATATTCATTTATGCATAAATATTTTTATAATATTAAATTTTAATTATGTATATTTTTATATCAACATGCAATTTTAATTATAGGATTTCTAATTTTAAAAACCAATTTACCATGCCCACTGATTTTTTTAATTATATTTTTTTCAATATTAAAAATTATTATTATTTTCATATCAACCAGATTGGAATTTTTAATGAAATCAAAACAAAAATATTTTAATTTAAACTTAATCACATATTTTTGTCATTTATTTTTATGAGGAAATATTTTTATAAATACAAATAAACGTATATCAAGTAAATCAATTTTGATAACAAGTTAAATATATATATTGTATTTACATATTAAACTATTTGCCAAATGATTTATCTAATAATTATTTTTCACATGTATATCATTGGGTTGAGCTTTTCAAATATCAAAGTTTTAATCAATTTATTTAATAAAAAAATATTATGTAACCCTAACTTTGTCATTGAGATACCGCTATTTCCCATTTGTTACAACTCTCTGTGAGATATATTGTTTTTTTATATATATATTAAATGAAACGAGTTTTTCAGTTAAAAAGTCTCATAAAAATTTTAGGTTGCATTCAATATATTAAAGTAATTATTTGTTAGTCATCAGAAATGATAAGTCATATAATATGCTGGATATATGGTTTATACAGTATATCTAAATAATAGAAAAGCTGACTAAAAAATCATAAAAGTGATGATGAATTACTATTTATTGTACAATATATCCTATCGTTTAGGAAACACACCTCAGGTTTCGACAAATACGTTATAATAACAATGGGAAACCCTCTATGAGAGAGTAAATATTACAGTAATGTATTACATAATAAAATTAAAATTTTCAACAACAAAAAATATTCAACAAAAGCGTTAACCCATTGAAATAAATTATATGTTTCTGTTAACCACTTGTTATTTGTGTGAATTAATGCAATCAAAGCACACGCAAAATGTTTTTCATATATATATAACTTAAAACCCAATAATAGTCTGATAGTTAAATAGGAAATAGAAATTTTAAAGTACAGACACTACACTATAAAAGTTTATACATTTTTATTACTTAAAATTTTATTTTAAGCTAAAAATATATAATATTTATTATAAATTTTTATTTTATTTTTTGTCGACAATTATATGTTCACACAACAAAAATTTAAGTTCAAGTGCTTTATAAGTATTGAATGCAAACTTCATTTATCATACATTCAAGTCATTGGTATGTCATTTGCCAGCTGTGCGTTCAGACACTTCAGACATCAGTTTCATCTCTAACTGTACGCCTACCTGTGCTCTCAATACAATGTAATCATATTTATTATTAAGAAAAGTAAAAAAAAAATAATTTAAGCATTCAATAAAAGTTTAGGTCAATTAAAATCAGAGTTAATTTTGTTTCACTAATGATTCGTTGCTTATTTCCAAATGATTCATCCGTTATATTAAAATATAATATTAATATTAAATTAAATTATACATTGAATTTAAAGACTTAGTCAGGTTTTTTCAGTATTATATAATATTATAGTCTTAATAATACAGTAATACATGCTATGCCTAACTATAGTCCTAATCTATTAATTTATTGAATGCACGCTTAAACCGGATTAATGAATATTAAATATTAAATATATAAAAATTATACAAATTATATATTTTTAATACTTTATGTTTGTGTTAGCTCATTAATATACGATATATCAATTTAATATACACTTATATAGGATAATAACGTCACGATAAATGCAAATTTTCCATCGATAGTCAATGATATCAATATAGTATCAGGGTCATTAAGTCACTATCAAATAATTTAAATTTTCAATTATAAAAAAATAAAATAACCAAATAATTAATTTACAAGCAATTGGCTAAAATTACTGTTTTAAATTGGTGTTAATTTCTATATATATATAATTGATACTATTGTTACTTAATGGAAAAATAAACAAAAATTCAGAAAAAATATCCAAATGTATAGTTTTCATACAATTTATTTTTATAGAGCAGTACTTGTAATCACATGATTGTGGGGTTCAATGCTTTGCCAATGTTTTTGTCAAATGAATGCAAACGTATTGTTTGAATGGATGTAAACAATAGTCTAATCAAAACAATCAGTGAATGAATTGCGTGAATGAAAACCATTGCTTTGATTGCGATATCATTTGACTTCATTTCGAGACACTTATCGCTTATTTGATCCCATTTTTCAGAGACAATAACAATGTCTTCTACACGAAGAGCACTTCATTATGTCTTAAAAATAGGAAATCGTTTCAAAAACATCGATTTCTTTACCGATATCTTAAAAATGAAGGTATGATTTGAATGTCACAATAAACAGGTCTCAAGTTATAACTGTTATCATCTATTATTAGGTGTTAAGACATGAAGAGTTTACAGACGGTTGTAAGGCTTCATGCAATGGTCCATATGATGGCAAATGGTCGAAGACAATGATCGGCTTTGGACCTGAAGACAATCACTTTGTCTTAGAATTGACTTATAATTATGGTATTAGTGATTATAAGTTAGGAAATGATTTGAATGCCATCACCATTGAGTCCAATAGTCTAATCGATAATATAAAATCTAAAAAATATGAATTCACTGAAGACAATGAAATTATTAGTATTTTATCACCCGATGGATATAAATTCTTGGTGATGGCTACCAGCGATGATACCAGCGATAGGATAACGAGTGTCTCACTGTCGAGTTCGTCGTTGAGTCGATCGGTCGACTATTGGCACAATTTGTTAAATATGAAGAAGTATGAAGTGACCGATCAAACAGCTCTTCTTAGTTTCAATGATAGCGAATGTAAATTAGAGTTAATTGATATCAAGCAAGAAGTGAATCATGAAAAGGCTTTCGGAAGAATCGCTTTCAGTTGTTCTGAAGAGCAGTTGCCTGACATAGAATCACGAATGAAATCCGAAAACCAAACAATTTTGACTCCTTTAGTCAGTTTAGATACACCCGGAAAAGCAACTGTTCAAGTGGTCATTCTGGCCGATCCCGATGGACATGAGATCTGTTTTGTTGGTGACCATGCATTTAGACAATTATCACAAATGGATCCAAACGCTGATAATGAACTTAAAAAGGTATATAATTTTCTTCTAATTTATTTAATTTAAAACTATTGTATTTAATGAAAGGCAATGACTGAAGACAAGAGTGATCAGTGGTTTCAAGACAAGGGTTTGTCAAAGAATAAAATTTGAGATAACGAGCGACGCATTGGTTCCGCCGAAACCAAACGAGTTTGTGATTGCTATTCGTCTATTTTTTAACCATTTTTTGGTCACATTTGCCACTATATCTAAGTCATTATCTATAGATTCAGATAAATTAATTGTCGGCGGAACTAATGAATGATTACAAGATAGTATCGTAAAAATTGCTTCAACACTTCCCGCTGCTCCTAACAAATGACCAGTTGATCCCTTAGTACTCGTTATCATTATATTGTTGGAGTGGTCACCAAATAACTGTTTAATTGCCTTTAATTCAATTTCATCGCCAATTGGTGTGGATGTCGCGTGACTATTGATATGCGTGATGTCCTCCAAATGTATGTGCGAGTCATCAATGGAGGCCTGCATACACTCCATGGCTCCCATTCCATCTTTTCCCGGAGCTGTCATATGATTTGCATCGCCTATCAAAACAATTAAAATTCATTTACATTTTTATACAAATTAAGGTTACATATAAACATAGATTATAAATTATTTTTAAATTTTTGTGGATTTTTAAAAAATAATTTATGTAAAATACCAGACAATCCATATCCAAGAATTTCGGCATAAATTTTAGCTTTTCTGCTGATGGCGTGATTTAGCTCTTCGAGTACCACAAGACCACATCCCTCTCCCATAACAAAACCACATCTTTGGGAATCAAAAGGACGCGATGCTTCTGTGGGTTTGTCGTTAAATTTGGTCGAAAGTGCGCGGATTCGGGAAAATGCCGCAATCGATAGCGGACTTATCACCGATTCTGTGCCGCCACAGATCATGACATCGGCGGCACCGCGTTGTATGAAACTGAATGCGTCGCCAATTGAGTGGACACCTGTCGTACAAGCAGTCGATACCGAATGGTTTGGTCCTTTTAGACCATATTTGATGCTTATATGACCGGCTGGCATATTGACCAACAATTTAGTGACAAAATGTGGACTAACTCTATTAAATCCTTGTGTTTGAAGGGCAGTCCCATTATGTATGACTTCATTCATGTCAATCATTCCCATTCCGACGGCAACACCAGTCCGTTGTTTGTCTTTGTCGTCGTTTGGTTTCCAATTTGCGTCACTTAATGCCTCTTCAGCGGCCACTAAGGCATATAACGTTGACTTTGAAAGAGTCCGCAATTCATTAGCCGTAAATCGTTTATTGAGATCTAACTCATCGTTTGGCACATAAGCGGCAACTTTGCAGGGAATTGATTCATAGCCGTCACCGACCACTGGACTGATGCCACACTTGCCGTCAATCAGATTCTTCCAAACCCTATCTCTTCCGACACCTAATGGACACACTATACCGATACCGGTAACCACTACACGACAATAGTCGCGTCGGGTAATTATCCAACTCTTAGTTGACCTCAAAATTAGTCGCCCTATTGTTAATTGATTTATTGTGATTAACATATTAATAAAAATCATTAAAAAAAATCACTTATTATATCACAATAATTAGATAATAATTATAAAATTAATTAATATATCAATTGCATCACAATTATTAAAATTAACAAATTTTTGTTTCTAATTAATTGATTAATAAAATATAAAATAACTATTTCATCAAAATAAATGTTTCACTAAAAATAAATAAAAAAATAAATTTATAAAATTGATTACTTTATCCACATTTTATAATATTTAATAAATTATATAATAATTTAATACATATTGTATATCATATTCAGGTAATCAATATTTTTTAAAATTTATTTTCATTAAATTTATCTCATTATGTTTTTTGATTTATTAGACTAATAAATAACGTTAAATAAAATTAATGTAAATAATATCCCCTATTTATTGATAGTATACTGTAGTATATATTAGTTGAAAATATTAATTATTTTTTATTACATAATTTATTTTCAACTAACATATGATATTTAGCGGCAAACTGTTGACTGATTAAAATTTTTAAAATCTATTTTTTAAAATTCTAATGTTGTAGAAGCTATTAAGCTAATCAGTTTTGTCGACTCCATCATAAAGACTAAATAACTATGAAATGAATTGTTTTATTTAACAATGGAGTCGATATTTATGTTAACATTAATGCTGGTAATATGTATGACATTTAAGAAAATGCATTGATATTATTATTATTACAAAATATGTTTTGATTTTTTTAAACAACAAAAACAAAACTATTTTCAATACATTAATTGATTATTAGTTTATGAATTTATTTGTTTAACTATCGATAACTATTACTATTACTGATTTATAGTGATATAACTAACTAATTATCACAACAATGACAGAGATAACGAGTGCCAACTTTGAACAAATGTTTCCCATTATATATGAAGACATAAGACAGTCGTCTTTTATCGGTTGGTCTAAAAAGTTGATGCAATACTATATTAACCGATAAATACATACCTTTTTGATTGTGATAGCCATCGATACAGAGATGACAGGACTGGTATGCGACAAGTCATGTACTCCCAGTTTGTTTGATACATTGGAGGCCAGGTATTCAAAGCAACGGCGATCGGCCAACAAATTTATTGTCTGTCAATTGGGTCTCTCATTGTTTATGAGGGACTATAAGAGCAACTCGTGAGCTAACCGTTAATATATTACTTGTTTAACATTTTTTTGTTAATCATAATTATTGTCTCAATTATCAGATATGAAGCCAAAACTTACACATTTTATTTGTGTCCGCGATCTCTGAATTGCCGAAGAGCTGACTTTTCCTTTGATATGTCAGCCATTGAATTCTTAGCCTATAATCACTTCGAGTTTGACAAAGTATTGTCTTAGCTTTGCTTTAGTTTAAAAAAAATAATTTTTTAAATATCATATCTAATAAATAGTTTGCCAAACTTGGGATCAACTATTTGAATGAAATCGAAGAACAAAACCTTATCAACAGATTTGATGATTTTCTTGACATTGATTTTATTGATTGTCCGATAAGATATGAGACTTGCAGTCATCAGGTTTCTGAATGGCTAAACAAGAGATCGTCTGACAAAGACTGTGGCAATCAATTGATTTTGAAATGTTGGCCAACAGTTAATCCATTAGTTAATTATGTATTTATCAAACAATTACGAAATAATTTTCCCACTGTTTGGGTTCAAGAAATGAATGGCAAGTTTATTGTGCGACCAATTGATGTGAAAGAAAGAGCTAATCTCTTAAAAGAAGACGGATCTGAAAGGGAACAAGTGATCGATAAAATGATTGGTTTTTCTAAAGTCTTCAAATGTTTAATTGACATCAAACGACCAATTGTTGGACACAATATGCTAATGGATTTACTCCTTATGTATCATAATTTTTATAAACCACTTCCAAGTTTGTTATACGAATTGTTTAAATATTATATTAAATTCATTAATCTTAAGCTTATTATAAAATTAGAGAAAATGAAACAATTCATGTCATCACTTCATTCGATATTTCCATACATTTTTGACACCAAATGTATGATATTTAATGAGAAACAGGTTTTTAATAATAATTAATTTTATTTTGAAATAATAATATTTATTAAAAACAATAAAATTTCAGAATTTGAATGAATTTGCATACATTTTCCGGAGCCCTTCGTTAGGTGAAGTCTATGCAAAACTTAAAGATGACGATATGGTCAATGCATTTCCTGGTACACCAATGGTCTATCAAAAAACAAATGAAAATAATAAAGGTTTTTATATAATGAGTTTTTTTGTTGTAAATTTTAACTAATTATTTTTAATTACCGGTAATTGTATTATATTTTAGCCATTGATACTTATTCCCCACATAACGCTGGTTTTGATGCATTTGCTACTGCTTTTGGTAATATCTTATATTTTTATAGTACCGGTAATTATTATTTTAATGTTTTTCTTATTTTTCATTTATTTTGCAGTTTTTCTAAAAGTTAGCCACATTTTATTAGTGAAAAACTCTGGGTAATAATAATAAATATTTATAATAATTTACTAAACTTCTATATTAACAGCGATGGTAACGAAATTCAAGATCACGTCTTCTTTGATATGTTAAAAGTGATTGAAAATCATGTCAACAAAATCAATCTAATTCGCGCTAATTTCCATTACTTAGTATATATTTGTAACATTAACTCATACGTCCCTATATTTGTTAATTAATTATTATTTTTATCAATTAAATAGTCTATTACGGGACCAAATCCTTTAGCTAAATCCAAATGGCTTTTCGCACGAAAGCGTAACAAATATTCAAAGTTTAATTTAACAACAGTTTGTATTTTATTTATTATTATTTATTTATTTGTTGTGCATATCTGTGTTTGTAATATTGATTTGTAATAATGTGAATATCGTTTTAATTTGTTGATTCACTAACAGCTGACATCAAAGTTGGCAGAACACGGAACCGCTGACATCAAAGTGATTGACACAAACAGTTCGGTATTGATTGCAACCAATAGTCATAAAATGTGAGTTAAATATGTTTTTATTATATTATTAAAATTTAAAGTTTATATTTATAATATTGAAATATTTTATTAAAAGCAATTTTACGTAAATGTACTGTATATATAGGTGTATATATACTGTATATACTTTATTATAAAAATAATGCATCAAATGTAATAAGCAAAAAATAGATGAATTAGTTGAATATATTATTACTTTTAATAATATACTGTATATAACTGTTGTACAGCATATTTGTCATACCAGTGCTCACGAGTTAAAATACAAAGGCCTTGAGTTAGGCTCTTATTTTTGGCACTTTTGGCCGCACTTCTCGCTTAAGTAATACAATCGATGCATAGTTTTCGATAATCTGGAAAACATTCAAAACTTGACTCTAAAATCAGATTTATTTTAATTATATATATTTATATATCTACTGAATGTAATATATAATAGACTGTGAATCTTATAATAAGTATATTTTTTGCCTTTACTTTAATGTAAGCCTCGATTGGATGCGACTTTCAATTTGTTTTTTATGTGCCTTTGAATGAATGTATGTCACTATTATATGGGATTAAAAATAGACTTTTAAATTCTTTGAAACAATTAATGTATAGTAATATCATAATGTTTAACACAATGTCTATTATTTTAGTTTTATTTTGTATTATCTTCGTTATCGGATTATTGCTATATTTAGTCACAACAAATATTGACCACAATTTATCATTTTTAAGAATAGATATTAACAATTATAATGCATTAATGATATATCATATAACAAAATCTATAGTAATTTTTTAAAAATTAATTTTATAAATTAAATTATTTTTGATATACTGTATAAGAGATATATAAATAAATTATATCATCTGAACTATAGTTAAGTTACTTTGGCTTCAATACAACATTTGACTCGCATTTGCTTTGGTTTTTAGATTTGCATCACTTATTCTTTAATATTTTGTCCTTAAAATTAATTGACTTTCAAAAAAGCATTGCTCTTACGTTTATATTAATTATGTTTTTTAAATAATTTTATTATTAGATGCAGTGATTTTTACAGAACAATCATTTTATTTTTAGAAATTTTTATAATAAATAAAATGTTTTATTGTAAAAATATAAATTACTTTATTAAGTGGTAGTTTTGATTAATAATAATAGTATAGATTTATTGACTGACAATTTAGGTAATAATCATATACTGAGAACAACAAGTAAAAACACCCATTTGTAATATATAATAAATAAATGTATGTTTGTGTGTGTGTGTGTGTGTGTGTGTGTGTGAGAGAGAGAGAGAGAGAGAGAGAGCAATATATCTTTGAATAACCGATTTAAAGTAAAGCTATTAAGAGATTATTATTGTTTTTAACATTATCTAAAAATTTTATTTATAACACGATTATTATGTAATGATTTTCACATTTATATCTATTCTTGTATTTATTGGTCTACAATATAATTGTCGTTCAATAACTACTATAGAGTGTTGTAAATGTTATCTTAGATAACAAACATTATTGTCATCGCTGGAAATGGGCCTCAAATGACAATTGATTTGAACCATACTTGAAGGCCAATTCACAGCAATATGTGATAATATAATACATTTTAATATTTTCAAACCTACTTCTTGAGCTGTAAAGCACTGTTAGTTGTCTTACAGTTCATGTGATCAGTTGTCGTCATAATTGAGCTCTAAGTGTAGTATTGACGGCAATCAAGTCATCATTTTGTGAGTTTTACTCCAATATTTCAATTTTATCTTATCGTTAATTATAACACAATTAGTAAAATCTTATTTTTAGTTATCAATAATAGAGTACTTTAAATATTTAATACTTTACTAATTAGGTAAAAATATGTTATTGTTTTATGGAAAACAATATACAGTAGATATCTAATACTGTATTTTCATTTCCTAATACTAGTCACTGTTGTACTCTAAAAGTTATATTTATAAGTTATATTCCACTTATTATAACATTTAAAAAGTTTCTAAAAATAAACCAATAGTTAGACTAAAATATTATTTTTACTTTTCAAGAGAGACACATACATTAGCATCAATTTCATGGCCAGTTATATCTAATAATTTTTTATGTTGTTTACTTTTTTCAATAAATATGACAATTTTTAGCATACAATTAAATAGTCGACAAAATTTTTAGACGATATATTGCTGTCAATGCCATTTCAATCTCAGGCTTTGTTTGAATTTTCCAAAACTTTATAAATGTTATGTTTAAAAGTAATTTTATAGATATTTTTTATAAACACTGTTCGAGAAAAACCGTGTAAAATGAAAATAAACAAATCTATTAAATCAGATGTTATATGAATTGCAATTATAATTTATACATTTACTTTTAGATTGAAATGTTATTATTATTTTGACAGATTATATGATCATCAGTTAAATGGGTTAGTCTGAGTTTACACGTTTGTTGACAAAACATTAATTAAAAATTTTAAGACACATGTTATGCAAAATATGATGAATAAAATAAAATATTTTAATATTCTGTATACAGTTATATACTGTTTATAGGATTTGTTTTTAAACTCATTAACAATTTCATTGGTTTGTTGTATAGTACAGTATATGTAAATTTTTATATTTTGTTTGACTTCAGTACCTAATTCGTTGTTTTTGGTTTTTTAAGTTCATTGGTAGTCATATTAAGAGATTATAAGTATGTTTTGCATACTTTTAGTTATCTGATTTCATAACATAACCCATAATTAAAATATTTACAGAATTTAGAAGTCATTAATGGTTGAGAAAATATGTGCTAAAATAGGATTTATTTATATTTTCTGTACTCTATTTAGTATATAAATAAAAAAATTTATATTTTTTAGTCATAATAAACGCTATACAAAACATCAGTTTATTAGCAATAACATCTACTTTTAAATAAAGTTAAATTCAAAGAAAATATATACAGTATTTGGCATAAAAAATTAATTATTTTATACGTAGTTTTAAAAATGTTAAATGTTTTTACTTAAACGAATTTACTATTAAATAGTTAATACATTTGATTTTTTTTATTTGTATAATATAATACAAATCTATATAAAAATAAATAGCATTTCTAATGAATCAGTTATTAATTGACATACAGATGGTATTATCATTTAGAGTTATTTATTTGTTTTACTTAATCTATAAAAATGCAATTGACATCAAATATTATATGATTTATAGTCAACAATTTGATTGAAAAATGTGCTTCAACTGTTTAGAAATTATTGTATCAACTCATTGACTATGATATATAAAAATAAGACAATTTTTACACAAAATCTGCTATGTTTTTAAAGCAATGAATATAATTTATTTATTATATCTCATCAGCAAAAAAAACATTTCTTTGTTTTTTGCTGTAAAAATGTTTTCTAAGAGATAACGGGAAAATTATTTTTAAACATATATTTATTTTACACATCATTTATAACATTATTAATAATATTATATATTTTTTAAAAACAAGTCATAATATTTATGTCTATTTTTGTTTTGTTAGGGCGAAGACAATTGTAGAAATCTTCCGGACCGACGCTAACATAAAAGTGTCCGATTATAATGTCTACAAACATAACAGGACTATGAGATTATTTTTATGGTAAGTCATGAATATATATACCGATATTTTATCATATTTTTTGACATTTTTTTAAATTTGTAAAAATAAAAATTATTTTATTAAATAAATTAATTAATTAATAAACAAATTGATTGATTTTGTAGGTCTGTTCTTACTATTTCATCTGGTTTTACAGCAATGCTGTCCATACGTTTGATTAAATACCTTAAACAATGATAGCAATTGAAATATGTATTTAATGTGAATTTGTTACAAAAATTGTCAATAAAATTATTTTTTATAGCTATAAAAGTATTTTTTATACAACTATTTTGTGAGATTTATAGTACTTTTTAAATGTTATAAACTTAATAATCTTTTACTCAACTCTTTACATTAGTGTTCAATATATACTGTATATATAATAAATTTATTTTATTGTATATATTATAGCATAATGAACATCTTATATCTATTCAACTGTAAAATTTGAAACTCAGTTATCTAAACACTTGTCTAAATTAATTAATTAATTAAATAAAATTATGTGCAAATTTTTCTTTAAAACTCATTGTTACTAAATATAAAACAAAAATATTTGATTTTGTATTCATTCATATTTCACTAAATTTTTGTGTATTTTATATATATATATTCAATTTGATTTATTGATAATTTTTTTGAAAATAATAAATTTTACGGAAAATATTAATACACTATCAATATATTTATGGAGTGATTTTCTAAACATACGATTCCGTGAATAATTATTTTATTTTATTGGCCGATAAGTACATGAAATATAATGACTATAACTTACAAATTGTAAGTTACAATGACTTAATGCTCAAAAACAACTTAAATAGCAATATATGTTAAGATATATGTAATTCAATGAATTGTTATTGAGTTTAAAATAAAACATATATATATAAGTTTATGTTTTGTTTTAAAACATGTGTCACTTAAATATATTGTAAACATAAAGACTAACCCATTTTAAAATAGTGATAATAATCATATAATCTTTACCATTGTATTGTACACAGTATTCTGTTATTCTGAAAATGGTATTAAATATTTTTTTTCTATATGATATACACTATATCGCACGTGTCGTCTATCGATAACTACAATATGATACCAATAATTTTCTGATATGAATATATAGTATAACAAAAGATCAAATTTTTATCATAAGTATATGTATATTTAATATAATTTATATATATAATTATATTTAATATACTGTATATATACAGTATATTAAATTAAGTAAAACGTATTAATGTAAATATTACAAAAAAAATTAATCAATTATTTATTTTAAATTAAAATACAAAAATTGTCTAAAAAATATTTAATATAAAAAATAATTTTTTAAATATGATTAACAACATAAAATTGTATTTAGAAATTTTGTACATTATAATTGGCCCTGAAATTGATCACATATTTATTAAAAATAAATTTATAAATATTAAATAGCATAATTAACTTATCTTCACTGTAAATACAGTATTAATTATTAATTTAATATAAATTTATTTTCAATTTGTATTTATTATTTATCAATTTATTATTATTATTATTTATATATTAAATATATCTTATATTTTTTCGTGTGCAATATATTTTTAAAACTAACATTAATTTTAAAGAATTAAAATTAAATATTTTTCCATAATAAATAAAAATAATAAAACAATAATTGCAAACTTTCCATAATTAGGAAGCTATTATAGTTGAAGTGTATTGACAAAAATAAAATGATAAGATTTTTTGGTAATTTTATAGTAATTAATGATAACATAATAAAACAAATTAAAAGTGAGAAGAATATGATGTCTTGATTGTCGTCAATACTGTACTTTGAACTCAATTATGACGACAACGGATCACATGAACTGTAAGGACTGACAATGTTTTGTCATTTATATTGATAACACTTATGAAACTAAAAGTTAAGTTTACTATAATTAAAGTCAAGTATAATATAAAGTTTAGGAAAATAGTAGTAGTATTGGAAACAATTCTAAGAATAAAACTATTATTATATCATATATTGGATTATAAAATAATAATAATTATATTATTATTGTATTTAAAGGATTGTATTAATAATAATAATCTTTTCAAAAAGTAGTTTCTTATTTAAATCGGTTATTCAAAGATATATTGATCTCACTTTTTTACATCACTTTATTTACAATACCCTTACAAATGGATATCTTATTTGTTTTTCACAATATATCAGTTTTACCTAAAAAACTGTTTTTATTTAAATACTTTGTTAATTTTTTTTGCTATTTTTAGACTAATTAAATGTCTCAAGTTTTCAAGTTTCTAATTTTAATTAAATAAATAAACACAAAATTATCGTATGATAACATATTTATTATAATTATAAATATATATATACAGTATATACAGTATAATGCATTGTCTAAATTTAATAACATGTAAATAAATTAAAAATATTCACGAATTCCTGAAAGGAATACGTATATGCATTCTATAAGTCGGTCTGTCTGTCGGTCTGTCGGTCTGTCTGTCCCAAGAGGACATAGGTTCGAATCCACTATGCGCTACAAATTTGTTTTTGAATTTTTTTTTTCTTATTTAAGTTTATTTTTTAGGAAATTTAAGAAAATGGTGTCCAAAAATTAAAAAAAAATTTTGAATTTTTTTTTGAATTTTTTTAAAAAATTGTTTTGAATATTTTTTGATTTTTTTTGATTTTTTTTCGTTTTTAAGTTTATTTTTTAGGAAAATAGTTGTTTATTTTGTCATACTAAATCGTTTGATACACTACATAACTATAGTTGATTTTATTTTATCATACTGAATTTAATTTTTAATTATGATTAGGAATTCGTGTGGAAATGCTTTCTAGCATTCTCAACTGGTTTTTAATTAAAATTATATGGAATTTAAGTTAGGTTTTAATATAAAAATGAATATAATTTATAATGATATACTCAGGTTATAAATCTAATCAATTTGAACTAAAGCTAATTTATCACTTTATAATCTAATTGCAATTAATTTATTTTGTTTAATAATCAAATACTTTTCTAAAAATAGCAAAATATTCAGTGAAATACAGTGCATCTAATAATGAGTTTATAATAATAATAACAATAAAAACATAATTCATATAAACGTAAAAGCAATGCATTTTAAGTCAATTATTATAAATTTAGTGACAAAATATCAGAGAATAAGTGATGCAAATCATAAAACCTAAGTAAATGTAAGTCAATGTTGTATTGAAGCCAAAGTGATAAAAAACTTTTGGATAAATCAAATGATTTGTGATTTATTTATGTTTGTTATATACGACATAAAAATTATTTAAAATTTAATATAATTAATTTTCAAGAAATAACTATTAAATTTATTTATACACTATATTGACATATTTCAATTTACTATCATCATAATTTATTTATGATTTATAAATATACAATTGTATTGTAGTCTAAAATAAATAAAGCTATAAAATCTTTTAAATGCTAACTAAAGAGATAAAGTGCACTATAATTGAAATTATAGACATAATGCCAAAGATATTGCTAAACATTAAGGAAACTTTGTATTAATTGTTAAAATGAAAAATTTTGATCTATTTTTAATCCCCATATAATAGTGACATATATTTACTCAAAAGCATATAAAAAAATCAAATTAAAAGTCTGATCCAATTGAGACTTGCATTCAAAACTAAAAAATTAAAGGCAATGAAAAAAAACTATTATAAGATTGAGAGAGAGTTTTAGATCTTCAATGACTATCATTAGAGTATATATTTTATATAATTATATAAATAAATGTTAATTAAAGCAAATCTAATGTTTTAGCGAATAGTTTTGAATACTTTCCAGAGTATCAAAAAAACTATGCATTGATTGTATAGCTTAAGCAAGAAGTGCGGCCAAAAAAGTGACAAAAATAAAGGTCAACTCAAGGCCTGGTATATATGCCTCGTGAATACTGGTTAGGGTACCAGTGCTTCGGATAGTTATATTAAGTTAAATATCAAACTCTTAGACAATTCTTTCCGCTTCTTCCTCATCTTCTTCTTCTTTTTTTTTGTAAACTTCTTATAGTTTTTAGACATGAATTGGTGGCGCTGTTGGTGATGATGACACCCCAAACACCAGTTTAGGTGACAACCCATATATACACGAGCTATCAGTTGACGAAAAAAGTACTGTTCAATAGTATAACGTATATAAATAGAGAGTCAATGGGAAAGCCATACGCTATTGACTGACGCCATGCGCTCAATGGACTGACTGACTGTGCGTTTGTATTGAAGTGTTTGTGTTATAATATATGCAGTGATTTGGAGACCAATAACGAGTCGTTACGTGTATTACATGAGTGCTTAAAGTCTATGTCTATGATGTGATGCCATACCTAATGTGTGACACAGACTAACACTTTTCAAAGACACAAAAACGACATTTGGTTTCAATTATAACAAACTGTTCATTGATTTTAAGTCATTCAGTGATTTATTTAATTTAATTGTCATCAGTAGTCGGTTGATACCATATTTTTAAGTGCCGATCGGCTGCAGAACCACTGGCAGACATGGAGTCGGCGCACGCAAAGACTTGGCAGGAAGTGGTCGACTACTTTCAGGCCGATACAGACAAAGGCCTTTCACCGGAACAGGTCAAGAAAAACCAGGAAAAGTACGGTCCAAACGGTAAGTCTGAAACAGTGACCAAACATTTTGTTTATCAATCGATTTATAATTTTTTTTGCATTTATTTCCTGCTTTTCATTCGGCTTTTGGCTTTAGAATTGCCCGCTGAAGAAGGTGTGTACCAATTGGATGATCAATTGCTGTGATAATGATTTGACATAATGTTACGATTGATAATTTTGTGACCACTTTTTACAGGCAAAACGATTTGGCAGTTAGTGTTGGAACAGTTTGACGACCTCTTAGTTAAAATTTTATTATTAGCCGCTATTATATCATTTGTAAGTGTTTTTTTGTGATGATTTACGATATATTATTTGATTAAATATTGTGAATCAATGATTGTGACAGATATTAGCCTTTTTTGAAGAAAATGAAGACTCGGTAACGGCTTTTGTCGAGCCGTTCGTTATTTTATTGATTCTCATCGCTAACGCTGTGGTCGGTGTTTGGCAGGTATGTCGTCGTCATTATACTTGTGCTTACAATTAAAAATTACTTACAAATGGTTAACACATTTTGATTATAGGAACGAAACGCCGAGAGTGCTATTGAAGCGCTTAAAGAGTATGAACCAGAAATGGGAAAAGTTATCCGAATGGACAAAGCAGGGGTTCAGAAGATCAGAGCCAAAGAGATAGTTCCCGGAGATATCGTTGAGATTTCTGTCGGCGACAAAGTTCCCGCAGATATTCGTCTCATTAAAGTTTTGTCGACAACTATTCGAGTCGATCAGTCAATTCTCACCGGAGAATCTGTTTCTGTCATTAAGCACAATGAAGTTATTCCCGATCCTCGAGCTGTCAATCAGGACAAGAAAAATATACTGTTTTCGGTTAGTTATAGCTTTTTAATTCACGTTTTTATATAACAATTGGCGATAATTATTAAACTGAATTAGGGTACAAACATTGCCGCCGGTAAAGCAATGGGTGTTGTAATTGGTACCGGTTTGGAGACAGCCATCGGTAAAATTAGGACAGAAATGTCTGAAACTGAAGAAGTGAAAACACCTCTTCAACAGAAATTAGATGAATTCGGTGAACAACTTTCTAAAGTTATTTCAGTGATTTGTGTGGCTGTTTGGGCCATCAATATCGGTCATTTCAATGACCCCGCTCACGGCGGCTCTTGGCTTAAGGGCGCTATCTATTACTTTAAGATTGCCGTAGCATTGGCCGTGGCTGCCATTCCCGAAGGTTTGCCGGCTGTTATCACTACATGTTTAGCGTTAGGTACTCGACGTATGGCTAAAAAGAATGCTATCGTTCGTTCGCTACCATCTGTTGAAACTCTTGGTTGCACTTCAGTCATATGTTCCGATAAAACTGGAACTCTGACCACAAACCAGATGTCCGTTAGTCGAGTAAGTATTATATTTCTTTCAATAGATTGTTATTTAGATAATCATATGATTCATGTTTACAACTGATACTAATGGTTTGATTTCAGTTCTTTGTTGTGAACAATGTCGATGGAAATGACGTTGAATTCCACGAGTTTGAAGTGACCGGATCTACATATGAGCCAATCGGTGAAGTATTTTTGAAAGGAAATAAAGTTAAATGTTCAGAGTATGAGACACTGTTCGAGTTATCGACCATCTGTTCCATGTGTAACGATTCGAGTATCGACTTTAACGAGTATAAGCAACTGTTCGAGAAAGTAGGCGAAGCCACTGAAACAGCTTTAGTTGTTTTGGCAGAGAAGATGAATCCGTGGAACTTTGAGAAACGTGGACTCAACAGACGTGATGCCGCCATTGTTGTCAACCAGAACATCAAGAATATGTGGCGAAAGGAGTTTACTTTGGAGTTCTCTCGGGACAGGAAATCAATGAGTTCTTATTGTGTGCCAAAACAGGCCGTTAAACTAGGATCCGGACCCAAACTGTTTGTCAAAGTAAAACAATTACATAGTTTTTAGTCGACATTTTAGATATTAACCATTTGTTGATATAAAGGGTGCACCAGAAGGTGTTTTGGATCGTTGTACACATGTGAGGATCGGAGATAAAAAGGTTCCCATCACTTCAAACCTTAAGAACCGAATTTTGGATATTACTCGACATTACGGAACTGGTCGGGACACTCTCCGATGCTTGGCTTTGGCCACTGTTGACAATCCTCTTAGACCCGATGAAATGGATTTAATAGATTCCACTAAATTTGCCAATTATGAGGTATGACTTTTCCCAACTTTCTATAGATATTTATTTAAATTATTTGTAAATTTGATTTAAGGTTAATATGACATTTGTCGGAGTTGTCGGTATGTTGGATCCGCCTCGTCGTGAAGTCTTCGACTCAATCAAACAATGTCGTGCCGCTGGTATCCGAGTTATTGTGATCACTGGTGATAACAAAAATACTGCTGAAGCAATTTGCAGACGAATTGGTGTGTTCGGTGAAAATGAGGACACAACTGGAATGTCATATTCGGGCCGAGAGTTCGATGATTTACCGCTTCACGAACAAAGAAATGCTATCAGAAAATCTCGACTGTTCTCACGTGTAGAGCCGGCTCACAAAAGTAAAATTGTGGAGTTCTTGCAGGCGGACGGAGAGATCTCAGCCATGACTGGTGATGGTGTGAATGACGCACCCGCTCTCAAAAAGGCCGAAATTGGTATCGCTATGGGTTCGGGAACTGCTGTCGCAAAGTCTGCCGCTGAGATGGTTTTGGCTGACGACAACTTCTCATCAATTGTATCAGCTGTTGAAGAGGGACGCGCTATCTATAACAATATGAAGCAATTTATTCGTTATCTCATCTCTTCAAACATCGGCGAAGTCGTCAGGTTTGACCTCTTATTAAATTAATTAATTTAAAGTAATATTAAACTATTCTTTAATTTTACAGTATTTTCTTGACGGCAGCACTTGGTCTGCCAGAAGCCTTAATTCCCGTCCAACTTCTTTGGGTTAATCTTGTAACTGATGGTCTGCCGGCTACTGCTCTTGGTTTCAATCCACCAGATCTTGATATTATGGAACGTCCGCCCCGTAGAGCCAACGAACCACTAATTACTGGATGGCTTTTCTTCCGTTATATGGCTGTCGGAAGTATGACTTAAATAAATAATTACCGGTAATTTGCATTTGTTATAAGTAATGAGTTTATATTTGATTAGCTTATGTGGGAGCGGCTACAGTGGGTGCAGCAGCCTGGTGGTTTATGGTAGCACCCGATGGACCTCATCTTACATATTATCATCTGTCACATCATCTTTCATGCATTGGTGACGCAGAGAATTTCAAAGGTGTTGACTGTAATATTTTCCACGACCCGCACCCCATGACTATGGCTCTGTCAGTTCTCGTAACCATTGAAATGTTGAACGCTTTGAACAGGTAATTGAAATAATTTAATCAATTGATTGATTGTATTGGAAATATCATTGAAATATTTATAAATGTAATGTACGATCAGTTTGTCGGAGAACCAGTCATTGTTAGCAATGCCTCCGTGGACTAACATCTGGTTGATGTCAGCGATGGCTCTTTCCATGACTCTTCACTTTATGATTCTTTATGTCGACATTCTTTCGGTGATTTGAATAATTTTATAATAAGTTATTATTAATTATATACCGATTATTAAAATATATTTTTATACAAAATTAGGTGGTATTTTCTGTATGTCCCCTAACGGTAAACGAATGGTGGGCCGTATTAAAGATCTCATTACCGGTCATATTATTAGACGAGACATTAAAATATGTGGCCCGGAATTTCATTGATGGTAACAACCGTTCTTCTCTGGAAATTATATATTTAATAAGCGCTTGGGTTTTATACTTTGCTCTTTTGACCTCCACTTCCACAGAATTGATTGACATTCAATCAATTCTAACTAATGTTATCTCCGATTAATTGCTTTGTTATCTCTAATATGTGTTTTAAATTAATTTCTAAAACAAATTTTCTATATTTCAACCGTTTTTTATAACCATTTGGTAACATATAGTGTTTGTTTAACAAAAGATATATATATATATATATACATTATTTAATTTTTAAATACAAATTTTTATTTAAATTATAAATCTTAGTAATTATTGAAAGTTTATATTTATATTTTATCTTTTGTTTTCGCAAACATTATATTTTACATGAAATTTATATATACTTTTGTTACATTTTTTGGTCTGTGATAAGACTTGGATCTAATTACCGTATATAACGATCTAATAACAGTTTTTATAACCAGTTCCTCATATTTCCAATTACCACTATCTTATATTTTGCTGGTTTTATATAGAATTATAAGATTGAATTATCACATGAATTTAGTTATCAATTATCTGTTTTTTCAAATATAAATTGTTTTAATTTTGACATTCAATATGAATGCAAAAATTACCGTAAGTATTAAATTATGTGTTGATTGACTTAACACCACATTTTTTTTATTGAACCGCATGTTTCTCATAGTAATTAACGATCTCTTGTATTGTTTAATTACTTCCAAAAAAGATAAGTAGTTCTCTCATATCTTATGGTAATTAAATGCTTAAATATTATACAGAAAACTAATGTATAATTTTAGCTAAGTTTTAAAATAATATATTTAAAAAATTAACTATTTGTACATTTTTAGGTTTTTATTTAATTTGTTGTAAACTTAATTATAGATAAATTTTGTTTTTCGATTGCTTTGAGAAACATATTTCAAGTAATATAATACAGTAGTTATTGTTTTAATAATTTAATTATACAATATGTGTGAATAACATTGATTACATAGACATTATTTGTATTTAATTAAATAACATAAAAGTTAATATTTTTATTGACTTATTATTTATGTTGAATTGTAAATTTCATAACATCTAATTTATTCACAGAAAAATTTTGTTAAAAAAATTTTAATTAAAAAAATTAATTTATTTACAATAAACCCATCAAACAATAACATGTATGAAACCATCATTAAAACACAACAATATTATTAGTCGATTCCTGGCATGTGTTTAAAAATAACCAAAACTTAGTTATCAATTACAGATATAGCTGTATATCCGACCCAAACTCCAAAAATACCTTTTAATGGTGTGGTAAGTGATATCTCATCGTAATCCTAAACTAACGAAAGTTTTTATTTGAATTATTGCTTTATTTAGTTTGTTATCCAAAAAACATTCATTTGAGACGAATTTATTAAATGCCTAAAAAAATTTTATACACTGTTTATACAAAATTTTATTTTTGTTAAAATTATTATTTTTCCATTTCACTGCATTTTTTCACTTTAAACTGCTTTTTGCAAATTTTTATTTACACGAAATCACTTCAACCATTAATTTAATTACTCATTAATTTTATTTAATTGATTATTTACTTTAAGGGGAAACTTTTATTACCCTTAAGCACATATATTATCGGCACATAAATGTTTTGTTTTACTAACAAATGATTTTTTTATTTCCATATTTAGCACCGATTAAACGCTAATACTTACTAAAATGCCATCCAAAATATCAATTAACAAATTGCATGTATTTTTTTGTGTGTAAATTTCATCGCAAGTCACTAATCATTTGCATGTAAGACATTGTACTATTGATTTGCACTTTTTTGAGTTTGTAATGACAAAATTTATTATATAATTTGATTTAATATATTTATATTTATATTTTAATATTATATTATATTATATACTAATTATTTTAAAAGCTTTTCTATACATATTTTTCTTTTTTTTTTAATTACCTCCCATTTGCACAACAGTTGCTCCGACGCCAAAAGCAAATTAAAGCCCATATTATAAGTTTATAGAGGGCTTATCGCACACCTGACAGCCCTCACACACACACATAAATACACAACTTCTCAAATTTAGATAATATTTATATTTTAAATAAATATTTTAGGAATAAATTGTCTAATAATCGAGATTCGCCTCAATTATAGTATTAAAAAAACTACCGAAAAATCGACACAACATCTCAAGCCATAAACCATAGCATACCATACAATACAATACCAACTGACTGTTACCTTAAAAATTTCAAATTCTTGTTAAAGTATTATAATGTAGTTTATATATATATTTATATATAATTACAATTGTATTTAATAGTAATAACTTAAATGAGTCTATTTTATTATAGGATGACTAATCAAATTTAATTGAATGACAATATTATTGTTTAAAAAAATGATAAAAATATTCAAATTAAAAAATAGACTCATTTTTGTCATTACTATACATAATGTTAATAATATTATTTAAAATTAATATATAGATTTATTTTTTAAACGATTAGGTTTAAAATTATTTATTGTTATTATTTTATAATAGTTGATAATTAAAAAACAATTTAGTGATAAATTTTTATCAATTTTAGTCTTTACAAATAGAAAACTATTTTAATATATAGTTTATACCTGTATTTAAAAAACATTAGTTATTTGATAATTGCTTTAACAATATCTTCATTTAAAATGTTAAGTCACGGCATTACCTCTCCTTCAATCTCCTCAAACAAATGAATCAAATAATGTTTCATAAAGTATTTCAAACCATTTATTATTATTTATTCATATAATATAAACAACAAAATGAAATTAAAAACCCAAACATATTGTAATCATTGTTATACTGTTGGCAATGATTTTAATTTGTTTACAATTACGGTCTACTAAATAGTATTGAATTGAATTAATCAACACTTTTACCTCAATTGTGATACAAAATGGACATAAATATAGACAAGTGGTCAAACACAACACTATCGTTTCGTCCAAACCGTAATTGTGGCCAAAGTTAATATCATTGCATTGTTTTCAGACAAGAATATTCTTGTTTATAAAAATTTTATTAATTATATATAAATTCATTTTAAAATTGTTTTGGGAGTGATTTAAAAATTCAATGATCAACACTGAATTATTGTCGAATTTTTAACATTGATTTAAATTTAATGACAAATAAAAATAAAATTAGTAAAAATTTTAATAAACTTAGTAATAATACATATATGTATATAATTATTGAGTGATTCTAAGTCAACCAGTAGTTTATCTTTAAAAATTAATTTAACATTATTTTAACAATATGTATTTTAATATTGATTTATTGATAAATTATCCACATAAACCTTATTAGCACCAAATTCATAATTATTAACAATTTTGCTCAGTATATAAAGTTAAGCTCAGTTTTTATAAATATATAATGATATGACTATGCATTTATTATATACACAAATATGCCAATCATTGCTATAAAATAAATTAAATCAATAACAATTAATTAATAAAATCTTATTTTAATAAATTTGTTGTACAGTACTGTATAATAATAATGTGTATAAAATTCATAAATTTTATAACAAATATATTGTTTATAAATAAGAAACTAAAAACTATAAATAAGGTCTTAATTATGTAAAATATCTAAAGATTAATGTCGTCTATGAGATCGAGAACGGGATCGACTTCTTGATCGGGAACGAGATTTTGATGAACGGGAACTCTTTCTACTCTTTCTATGAGATGGCGGAGAACGGGAACTACTTCGTGAGCGCGACTTCGCTGATCTCTTTCTTTTGTGTGACTTCTTGTGCGATGAGGAGTGCCGTGACCTATGATGACTGTGCGATGACAACAATGACAAATCTTTTAGTGGTTTGTCTTTCACTATAAATGGTAAAAGGGATATATTTTTGGCTGACTCGAGGGCTTTAGGGTTTAGCAATGTTTCCGATAAGGAACTGTCACTACTTTTATCATGTATTGGACTGGAATTGGGTGAAGTGATAGCTGCTATTGTTGGTGAAAGTGGTGCACTATCTGTACTGGTTTTCGGCAATTCTGGTCCAAAAATACTATGTGTTTCACTTGTATGCGATTCAATTGATTTGATTTGCACTTTAGTTTGACTTTTAATTGAATTAAGGAATAGCGCAGCCTTTCGTTTGCGTTCTTCCTGTTTATCTTTTGTGGCCTTATCTCTGACGGCCTGAGCCAACATATCTTTGAGTGCGTTATCACTAGATTTTTTCGTATGAATACTTGAAGTACTTTCAGTATTAGAGGTTTGTTGGTCTTTATGTTTGGACAAACTCATTGTCGTCACCATTTTGTCATCGGTGACAATCGTTTGAACACTTGATTTATCTTTAAAGCTAATACTGAAACTGACGGGTGTTTTGTGTCGATTGGCATCACTTTTGTTTGTTTTTTTTTGGTTGGCCTTAACCTGAGCTATAGTTGCTTTCCTGTTCTCCTCTAAATAATATAATTTACGTCTAACATAGTGAGCGTGATATATGTGACCCGGATTTACAAAATCAAATCGTTTTTCTCCTAATTTCTTAATTGATAACTCAAATTGATTGCCATTGACGGACACTCTTTGTGCTAACTTTTCAATAATCTGTTCCGTTTCTTGGGGTGGGTTTGGCAGTAATGAAGACCAGGTATTAGTTGATGGAGTAATAACATTAACTTTGTCTTTAGTTTCATTACTTTGAGGTCTTTGAATATCATTTTCTTTTACATCAGATTTTATTTGTATAATAGGTTTCGATTGTTCGTCATCTTCTTCTTCTTCTTCTTCGACTTCTACATTGACTGGCATTCTATCCTTTAGACTTTTAAGAAGTTGTGAATAGATATCATTACTATTAACGGCTCGCAATAGATTTGGTATCTTAAACGTCTGTAGCTCTCGTGGTTTACCACCAGATGATCCCAATAGACTTGGATGCAGATAATGATCATCATCTGAATCATCAGAGTCTGATTCATCACTACTTTGTGTTTGTTTTGGTATATATTTTCCAGACTTAATATTATCTAAAATATATTTATAATATGGATATAAATTTGAATCAAATGACAAAAAATCAAAGTTTTTGTTTGTCGATAGTTTAGTCTTAAGGATTATTTCCATTTGCATTCCTTGTTTGCTCACAAAAAATGCTGTCTTTTCAATAATATTGTGTAACTTTTGACTTTCAGGCTGTGTTTGAATAAAATTAATAAATTATTAAATGTTTAGTTAAAGTATGTTAACGAACCAGTGGTGTGCCATCGGGCGGACATAACCCGGCGGGCAGTTTAAATCGATCGGCACTTTCACTCTTTGTTGAATTTTGTTGTTCATTGCATGTATTGGACTCATCTGTCGGCACATCGGCAGTGGTAAGACTTTGATCATAGTTATAGTTAATTGCATTATAACCGGAACCGTCAGCCAAAGCCAGATGCAAACGTTTTAGTTCTTCTTCTGTATAAAAATAAAACAATAACTCAAACGTTATCAACAAGTAATGACATAAACGACAAAAAATCAATACCGTGTTTATCTTCCTCGTCGTCATCCTTGAGGTCTATGTATCGTTCAATATCACACATTCGCTCCATTTCTAGCTCTTCTGTTGTAAACTGTTCCCAATTGTGTTTATTTGTGGCATCAAATTGGGATAAATCATTGAGATATCCTCTCACGTCAAACCTTTTGTCGGAAAAATACGGACAATCAATCGTTAGCTATAAATCGTTAATTTCAATCAAATTTCTTTGTTGTTGAAAAAATCGTCTAAAAACTTATTACTTTTCATTACATATAAAGCTATTCCTAAATCTGATCAAATAATTAGCGGAATGTTCAGTGATTTCGGGGGAAAAAATTGTGACAAAATTTTTATCTTTTTTCTCTTTGAATAAATAAAAATTTTGTTCGCAATAAATGATTTATCCGCTAATTAATAATTTTGATGAATAAATTAATCAATAATAATAATAATAATAATAATAATAATATATAAATACTGTAATAATAAAAGTGATAACAAATAATAAAACTTATGGTTTGATTTAATAAAAATGAGTCAATCATTTGTATTGCATTTTTGTAATGATATTCATACCAATCCTTCATGTAATTGAATATACTGTAAGGCATTTCCAATGGTTGCGACTGTTTATTATCATATGATATCATAACCACACAATCACTTCCTGAGTTTCGGTTCTTAAGAAAAGCGTTTTTTTAAAAAGTCAAACAAATAGCAAACAATTATATTTATATAATTGGTTTTCAAATCAAATCAATTGCTTTTTCTCTAATGACCCAAATATTTGATCATTTTTTTTGAAAGTGATTTTCAAACAAAACAACTGAAACAAAATAAATGAAAACAGTTTTGTGAACTGAAATATATGTCTTAAAGAGTTTTGTTTGGTTTGTTTGTCCACAAGAAATGGATTCAAATTAATCAAATTAATGCAATCAATCAATCAATCATTGGTAGCAATTTGATTGTCAATAGTGACGGACCTGTCTATCAGATGGTCTGAAGAGCCGTTCCAACCAATCAAATGCTGTCCGCTGTCTATCTCTTGGGCTTTACGGTCGTCGCGAAACAGTTTACACGAGTAGCCAAAGACAAACAGCTCGTCCAGTGTATCGTCAGTCTTGTGTTGTCCGCTGTTTGGCCTCTCGTAATGCGATGTCTTTCTGTGAGACCACAGGTGTGTCGGTTCCGAACCAATCGACTGAAACAATGAGTACGAACCGAACGCCGAGTCCGCGGACGCCGTCGTCGACTCCATCATCACTATCACCAACAGTTGGTCTCTCTTCAGATGGATTGGTCACCAAAAAACAAACTATCATTAAATGTATCGACACTTGAATTGATAAACACTTTGAAATGGATTCGCCATAATATCCACGCATTCATACATTACGTTAACAATTGAATCGTAAGTAAAGTTTGTATTGAATTTCATTTCATACCTAAAATTTTGTATTAATTTTTTGAAACAATATATTAATTGTTATATTAATTTGAAACAACAAATCTATTAGTGACCTAATTTGACTAATCAAACATCAGTTTTTTAACAAAATTTATTTTTATAAAATCTAAAAATACATTAGTAAAATAGATTACCTTAACAATAATAATAATTATTATTTAAAAATTTTATAAATTAAAAATATATAAAATATTTACCGTAGTATTAAATATAAGCACAAAATCATTTACAAAAAATTAATACATTTTATTATACGATTGCTTTTATACTATTTATTATATGATGAAACAATCGTATAATAAAATGTATTAATTTTTTGTTTGTTTGTAAATGATTTTGTGCTTATATTAATAGTAATAAATTATATTATATTTCTGCATTTATGTGCATTATTTTAGTTGTTATTTTAATTTTAATTTAACATTTTTTTAGAGATCAATGTCTTCATAATAATAACTCCATAAATAAAATGCAAAATATGGTGAAACAAATGCTGTAATAAAGTTTGACAACAAATTCACTGAATGATTGTCCAGTAATGCCTTTCCGCAGATATGCTTAACGTCGGGACCCTTCCTCTGGACTATCTTTTTATTTTTGGTGTTAAACCCAGAGTATTGAAGAGTAGCGCCTAATAATGAATCAATTATTGAACCAAAAAGTCCGGCAAATAGTCCAACAAGAAGTAGTGGCCACTGTTCAGGACTAGAGGCATACTGTTCACTATCACCATAACATATACGACATATCATATTTGTTAACATAAAACTTATTGAGACTACAAGTCCTCCCAAAGCACTGACAATTAGTCCAATTAGAGAAACCCCTCCATTAGTCCCTTTAGGAACACTTCTTAAAGTTGTTATCAAATATGGATTGCCATTTGATAGTACAGATCCCAATTCTGAAGCCCAGGTATCACCATTGGCACAGCACAGAGATCCTAAAACACCGATTGATAACCAGGAAAGGTTATAATCCGCTATAAAATCAATTGGTATTTCAGCGCTTCCGGTCTCCAAGTAATAAAAGAAAGCCAACTCCGCGGCCACCACTCCATTGGATATCACTTGAACCCAATTTCTTTGACCACCTTCTTTGAAATCATCTTCCAATTGACGTTTTATTTCATTTTTATATTTAGTGGCCACCGATGATGTAATGAAGAATGTCAGCAATGAAGCCGTAAAACATGAGTTACTTAATGATATGATAAATCCAATGATTAAGGCTTTAAATTAAACAAACAAATCATTGTTAGTATTAAATAATTATATTTTTGGTGATAATTGCAAAAACCTAATACAGCGCCAGTGAAAGACAAACTATTCTTATAAAATCCACTGAAGGATATAATAAATGGTAAGACAATTGAAACAATACATCTGATTGGTGTCGGACCACTGATCTCTGCAATTGACATCAATTTAGTCTAAAAAAACCGGTTATTAATGTTTTAGATGACAAACCATTTGAAGAGTAGATGAGTGATATAAACCACAAGATGAGTGCAATCGGCAATGTTATGGTCAGTAGTGTAGCTGCAGATATCAGCGACATATTAGTTGATCAGTTAGTTGACCATCAAATCAGATAATTAAACAGAAAATTAATTGAAAGTCACTTTTTTTAATTGCAATCAAAATATTATAAATGCTTTTTCAATGACTTTCTCGACAATGACTTTCATTTAATTGAAAATTAATTTATTTAATTAAAATTATATATTTATTCATATGATATGTGTATAGCAATAACTGCATTATAGACTGTATTAGTTGTTTAATTTGATAATATATTAAATTAATATTATATATAAATTTAAAAAATAAATAATATTAAGACACAAAATACTATGAGTTTAAGTTAAGAGTCAACTCATAAAACATGTTTTCAATCAATGTTTAGGTTATTTAAATGCATTACTATTTTTAAACACATATTTTCAATGTTTATAATTTATAAATATCTGTATACCTGTACTTACAATGTATTTGAAATTTTAATAGATTTTTATGTTATATCAATGTTATCAGTATTATTGTTATCAATATATACAGTACTTTTAATATGATTATCAACTTTTAAATAATCTTTATTTAATTATTATAGTTATAAATGTTATAAATGTTTTATCTGTATATTTATGGATTGTTAGATTTGATAGGATATTAGAATTCAATAATATTTTATAATTAAATACAATGACTCAAATTAAATTATAATATTAAAATTATCTTGATATGTACAATATGTACTAGTAAAATTTGATTGATTATATGATATATTCTAGTTGAAATATGTAGTAGCTAAATTCGATATATCTGGATACTTTTTTGAAATATTGTTTTTCAATGATAAAGCACATTTTATTTGAAAACAATATAAATAGAAACACATTAGAAAATATCACTAAATAATATAATTTAAGTTTAATTATCTGCAAGTAATACCTCCATGAGCTACATAACAGTTCTCTTTTACGAACACACATTTTTTTATACCATTCCCAATATGTATATTACCAAAATGGATAGTTGCAAATAAAATATTTTTACTCAATTCCATTGAGAAGTTATTTCCCAAAAAACCCAGTCTCACCTATTTTGAGTGATTTTATATAACAAAGTTTTTTTTTATTAAATTTTATTTAAAATAATTGTATATTATATTTATAGTTTGTTTATATAAATAATTATTCTATAAATAATAATAAATATGAAAATTTAAAATATACCAATAAATTATCGGCGATAGTAAAAAATTATTTTATTTAAAATATAAATGTTTAATAATGAAATATAAATACAAATTGATTATATATGGATACAAATAAATTTGTTGTTTCATTATCTTTTCCATCTAAATAAATAAAGAAAAATTAAATTATTAATTTTAATTAAAACAAAACTAAATAAATAAAAAGCAAAATAATTATAAAGATTACAATTTGAGGACTTTATCTTTGCCACCGCTGGCCACTCGTTCTCCGTCGGGACTCCAATCGATGGCATAAACTTCATCCGCATGTCCGGGTAAATCAATCATAAGTTTTTTGTCAATAATATCCCAAACTTTTAGAGTCGAGTCAGCGCTTCCACTCACTAGAAGTCGGTTGTCTGCCGACCAAGAAATTTGATAGACAGCCTTAACGTGTCCACGAAGTGATGTAATAAATCTGTGAATATATTATTAATTTAAATATTTTAAAAATAAATTCAATTTAAATAGTTAACTAACTTTCCGTTTTTTCCGTCCCACAGTTTAATTGATTTATCAAACGAAGCGCTTGCAATAATGCGAGCGTCGGGTGAAAACTTCACGTCATTTATCAGCTGTTGATGTCCTGTCATTCGTGATAAACATTTCTTATCTTTTTCGGGAAACCATAGAAACAAAGTGAAGTCATCAGAACCCGATACTAGCCGTTCGTTATCATTGCGTACTAATTGATACCGTTGTTTAGCATTTTTAACCATCAAATCAATATTTGTATTCAATTCAATCCTATCATTAGGAAAGGCCGGATCAAATGCAGCCGTTCTCATCACATAATCTGTAGACAGTGCTAATGTATTGACCCAATGAGCGTGTCCTTCAAGTGTCCGACAAAGGATACCCTAAAATTAAATTTAAGAGATTACCTCTATATATCAACCATTAAAATAGTGGACATACCGTATCGCTTCTCCACACTTTAACAGTTCTATCTTGAGATGCAGTGTATATAAGACCACTTCCACCCCATTTAACACACGTAACACTTTGCAAGTGTCCATTAATAGTGAAAAGTACTTTTTGAAGAACTGTATCCCATATTCTAACTGAACAGTCCTTTGAAGCGCTGGCCAAACGACGACAATCGGGATCACTAAACAAATTCAATCAATTAGTTTTGTAATTATTTGTCAATCAATTGTTATTTTAAACTTACAAATGAAATGGTTCCCAAGACATTGAGTTTACCCATTGTTTGTGAGCTGACAACGGACTACCAATTTGTTTACCTGTTTTTGGATCCCAAATATATATAATCCCACTTTTATCAGCGGAGGCTAATCGTTGGCCATTAGGAGACCAGGCTATGGCCAGGACCCAGTTTCGGTGAGCACTACACGTAAATTTTGGCGTTTCAGTGGTCACATCCCAAAAACGGACAGTAGTATCACCGGAACCGGAGGCTAAATGTGTTCCGTCGGGACTAAACTGTACAGATACGACAGCATCCGAGTGGCCGGCTATGGATGACGTGCATCGGGAGACGGCCTGCACGTGAAACACGGCCTGAGGGGCGCACACAATGTCCAAACATTTCTCAAACTCAAACAACGATGGATTAGATTCAATGGTTTGCTTAAGACTTTTTGTAATCTCGATGTCATTGGCAAAGAACAGATACGGCACTTGTTTTTCATTTTGAAGTAAAGCATTGCAAATAAGTTGCAATTTGTCTGAACTGATGTCCACCGGTATATCAAACGGATTACCGAATGATTCGTCCGACTCTGACTTCAGCTGAACCACTATTGTCTTCACCGAATCGTTCATCATTAGGTCTGGTCGTCGCAATACTTTTGATGATCTAAACTAAACTCAGATAATAATAATATTATCACCGATTTTATCACACAATTTGATTCAAGTCTATTAACATATGAATAACACGTGCTTTCAATGTCTCTCATGTGTTGTCTTTTAAAAGCCATTCAATCATTACGTAAGCGTTTGTTTACACTTTGTATTTGTGTTTGTGTTTAGCATAACATATGACACAATGTGTTTGCAAATTGAGTTCAATAATACATTTTTGTGTGTTTTTTATTAACAAAATTATTATGCATTCAATTGTTAGTAACACTTATGTTGTAATCAAACGCTCATTTAATTAACAGTTTTTATAAAACTCAATAACAATATATTGGCAATTATTAAACATATCTTTTAATAAATATTAATTTATTATTTAATGTAATTCACAAATTTATGTAAAAAATAGCCAAATTATAGTTCATTTAATTTAATTATTTATTTGTTTAATAATCTTATTTATTAAATAATTTTTGGTTTATAATTATTGTCGTAAACTATTTTTGATATATATTTATATAACAACGATATTAAACTGTATTACAATACTATATATACTGTACTATAACCGTAAAGTTTTTTTTGACAAACTTTTGATTGATATGTTTGTAATGTTTTTGTGATTTATATAGAAAATTGTTAATTTTATACAAAATTGTGTATAAATGTAATGTTTATTATTGAAACAGTGATTTGTATAAACAGTCGTTAATGTTATTCAAATAAATAATACAAAATAGATATTACTTTTAGTACATTATAGACATCAAAGTAGGCGTTTTATGAAAGATTTTTGAGGCTTTTTACAACCAATTTGCAAAACTGATTGTTTGTATATATAATAAATTTTAATCATTTATAAGTTATAATTAATGTTTTGTATAATTTAAAATTTTCAGTTAAAATCTTTACATCAAATTACACTTTTAAGTACAGTATAGTGTAGTATACTTTTAAAGCCTTAAAAAATAATTACTAAATGATCTGATAATGTCTTTAAGCGAATCTTTGAGGGAAAATCTTTGCAGTTTTTTTGAGTACAAGACACCAAAGATAGTCCACATTAAGAGCCGAAAAGTGGGAATTTTGAATCGTTTAATACAAGCCGTTATTATCTCATACATTGTCGGGTAGTTTCTGCTAAAAAAAATTATTTTATTTTTGCAAATCATATGCTAATTGTAAACAATTATTTATAATTAATTTCCATAAATAGTTTTATCCTTATTTACAAAAAAGGATATCAAGAGTTTTCGGGTGTCGAAAGTTCGGTGACCACTAAAGTCAAAGGAGTTTTATCCACAAGAAATTTAACACAAAATGATTTCAATGACAACTATATTGAGGATATGGATCTCTATGTAAGAATTTGGGACACAACTGATCTGGTGGTGCCGGCATCGGTATGAAACTATTATTATTATTATTTAAACTTTAAATTTTGAGATTTTTTTTTCTGAAAAATACTGAATGATATATTAGGAAAACGGAGCGTTTTTCGTGACCACAAATATGATATTAACACCAAACCAGTCACTGGGTGTCTGTCCTGAAGATGCAGATGTTTCTGACGCTGTCTGTGATCCAAACATAAAGGGTTTCTGTGACGACAAAGTTTTTCTATTAGGACACGGTTTGCAATATTTTATGATTTTTCATTAAATTATAATAAATATTATAATATTATGTATATTTAAAAGGTATTGCAACCGGAAAGTGTGTTAACTCAACACGAAAGGGTGTCTACACGTGTGAAATAGATGGCTGGTGTCCGGTCGAGAAAGATGACTATCCACTCAAAGACAACAAACCATTATTTACGGCAACAAAAAACTTTACGGTTTTGATTAAAAATAGCATTCGTTTCAGTGATTATAATATCAGAAGAAGGAATATCATTGAAATCGATAATTCATCTAAACTTAGAGATTGTACTTACGATCCGATTATGAATGCCGGATGTCCTGTCTTTGTGCTCAACGATATTGTTAGGTGGGCTGACCAGGACTACGACCAGATTTCACAATACGGTGGAGTCATTGGCATAGAAATCAATTGGGACTGCAATTTGGACTTTGATCTCAAATACTGTGTCCCAAAGTATTCGTTCAAACGTTTGGACGATCCGCACACTAGTATAGCTAAGGGCTGGAACTTTCGTTACTCCAACTATTATGACAATAACCGGCGCACACTATATAAGGCTACGGGTATTAGGTTTGTCTTATTAGTTAGCGGTTCGGCCGGAAAATTCAATTTTATACCTCTGGTCATAAAACTCGGTTCAGGACTTGGATTGCTCGCTATTGTTAGTCATTATACAGAATATTAAACTCTTAAACTTTATTAAACTGAAACAATTTAATTATATATTTTTTAGACAACAATTATCTGTGATATAGTTGTGCTTTATCTGAATAAAGGGGGAAAATATTATAAGGACAAGAAGTATCAATATGTGGAACAAGTGAACACTCAATATACGGTCTCAACTAATTGATTAAAATATTCATAATTTTTGTTAATTTTTTTTGTTGTTAAATTATAGGATATGATGGCAGCCAATCTAAGACAAAGAACTTCATCCGATGATCAACGAAGTAATAATTTTATGGACCAATGATTTGTCCAACAAATTTTAAATCATATTTTGATATAAATTAATATATTATAAGATAAACAGTATATTTTTAAATACTGGTAATTTAAATTACTAGTCATTAACGTAATTATGGAATTCATAGTATATGTAAAGTGTTTGACTTTTTTTAATTAACAATTAATTAACAAATATTATTTATCTTATATTGTACTGTACTTTACTGGTATTTATACAGTATTATACTACTAATGTATAATTGGTTTATATTACAATTATATTGATATTATTGAAATTATTATATAACTTGAAATTTTCAATTTTATTATACAGTATAATTACAAATAAAAATTTTAACTAATTAAAACTATAGATAGTTAAAGAAATGTTTCAATATTTAGTGTTAATTTAATATCAATAGTTTTGTTAAAAAATAGATTATAAAATAATTATATAAAATAAATAAAATATGATATTTTTCAACAATTTACTCTAAAGCTAAATCCATTCAATGATTTATACATATATTGAAGTTTTTTAAATAAATAAAATAAAAGTTTCAAAGCGAGTGATAAATCATATTTAGATGTAAAGTGAAAGTCATGAAAAAACTGGTAAAACATATGCTTATTATGTATTGCATTGAATTTTAATGTTTATTTGCCATACATTACAATACAAACATTTTGACGACGACTTAGTTATAGTTGTATATGATATACATTACAGTGATATTAACAAACATTTATATCCATTGACGTGTAATTTGTATTGTTTTTAAAGTTAAAACATTTGATTATATAGTTATTTGAATGCAATTTAATACTAAATGACAGCCAATTGTTGACATATTTGATCCATCGATAAATCTTTTGTATTTACTTTGTTTTGATCACCGGTCACTATCTTCACCCAATTATGGATCAATTTACTATTTTGATGTTGTTATCATTTTCCATGCTTTTCGGCAGTTACTTTTCGGGAACCATTCCTCTGGTGTTTAATTTTTCGGAGGTATGTTATCTTATTTGATAATAATGTCACCATTTGGTCATATATGAAGTTGTATTTTGATTCAATATGTTGTTTATCATGATTAGGACAGAGTCAGACTGTTGACGGTTCTGGGATCCGGTATTTTAGTGGGCACTGCCCTCAGCGTTATAATACCCGAAGGGGTTAACACATTGTACACATCATCACACGGTTTAAAACCAATTTGTTTCACTAAAATGAAATGTCAAAAACAATTATCTTATGTCCAGAATTTCACGCTCATCTCAAATCAATGGCCACTAATCAGACCCGAACTGAAGACAACCCACATTCAGTTATTGGCCTGACTTTAGTAACGGGTTTTGTGTTGATGTTATTGATCGACCAGTTCTCTAACCGACACACAACTCCTTCCAACACTTATGTGTCACTACAAAGTGGTCTGTTATACACACAAACAAATTATATGATATGATATACTTATGGTAAACAATGTTTTTATCAATTTATAAGAATTGGCCGAAAACGGCGATAGTTTATCTAAATCTGTGATTCCCAAGAGATCTTCAAAAATAACGGCAACCATTGGTTTAGTGGTTCATTCTGCCGGTTAGTAATTTTTGATTACCGGTCACTATCTTCACCCAATTTATTTTCGATTATACATAAAATTATTCAATTAGCCGACGGTATTGCGTTGGGAGCGGCGGCCACCACATCTCATACCGACGTAGAGATGATAGTATTTTTGGCTATAATGCTGCACAAAGCACCGGCAGCTTTTGGTTTGGTCACATTCCTGATGCACGAAGGACTCGAACGATCTAAACTACGCAAACATTTACTTGCGTTTTCATTGAGTGCACCGATAGCTGCATTTATCACATTTTTCGGCATCAGTCAGGGCGCCAAAGAAGCCCTTTCCGACTATAACGCCACAGGTTTGACATAATTTTTTATTTGTAATTACCGTAATATTTGACTAAATGTTATTCATGTCATCAATTTAAACCATAGGTATAGCAATGTTATTTAGTGCCGGCACTTTTTTATATGTGGCCACTGTTCATGTATTACCTGAGATAACACAACACCAACACTTAAAAATTACTGAACTTTTAGCTTTAATATTTGGCTCTTTTATACCATCTTTATTGACTGTTAATCATCATCATTAATGGTATATAAATTTATTGTTAAATAGTTTATATAAAAATAATTTATTTTGTGAATTGTTTGACTGTATGGAGTCAACCAACAAACAAAACGAAAACAAAAAGAGATTTATTAATTACGATAAGTTATACCATACATGTCTCCGAAGTTGTCTGTGATATATGTCCCATCAAATCCATGTATTGTGAACGACTCTTCTAACAGTCTTCGCCATAAGTGATTCATCAGTTCCAAAGACATGAGGTATAGACAAAGTTTGAGATTAATTGTTATAATTGAAGAAGAATGTCATTGAAAAAAGTTCACACAATAATTGTATAATAATTTATGACAAAAAAAACAGAGAATGTCATGAAAAGGACATTCATTATACGGCAATAAATCATTTATTTGAAAAAATCAATTAAAACGTTGTTTAATAAATCAAAATAAATAAAAAATACTTTTTTTCTATGACTTAACGTATGAAATTGATAAATATATTTAGGGAATAATTTTAAATATTACGATAAAATTGAAAGACTGCAGCACTCAATACAATAACAATAGTGATTGACATGAAATTAAATTTAGTGAATGTGTTGAATAAATATCTCAAATCAAACATTTTGCTAAATAAACCAACATTTCTACTATTTTCTGCTTTTTGTCTTAATTTCTTTGCTCTCTCTTGAGCTCTAATCATATCATTTGGCGGATATCGTCGTATCAGATCCATGGCTGACTCAATCAACATTTCAATTGGCAGTTCTTCTGTTTCTGGAATACGAGTTAGAAACTGGTGTACAGATGGCATATCACAGTCGGTGTCGAGAATCTGATTTTGTTTGTAGAGAAGTATAGCAACTGTTAGATAGAATGGCATTAGACTGTGACTGACAAGAAAAAAGTCAAAGAGTCGGGTGACGTCTTCATAAGTGGGCAATACATGACTGAACCAAGTGATGACCCAACTCAGTGCAAAGATTGTTCCCACTTCTGATCTCTCCAAGTGTTCACTCAATGTCTTGTTCTCCTCTCTGACCACAATCGGTATTATATCCAACAAGTCCTGAGTTTTTTCCATAGTCTTCTCCATATATACTCTGAAATGTGTTTTCGACAATTGGTTCACCACATAGAAAGCCATTTCTTCGCCCAATACCATCAGGAATGTCACACATATGTCATGATATCCCTGAAAGTAATTCAGATCTGGATTTTTGATTAGAACTCTCATAATCAGCCGAATCAGTGAGTCTTGCATTGATATCCTTTGATTAGTGTCTATAGAGGGCGGAAATCGCTTCAGAGATCTGTTGACATCCATAACCACCTGATTATAAAAGGGATGACTTTCAATGGTGTCTGTGTCAGGTCGAGGACTCGTCCCAATCACCGATAATTTGCTCACTTTTGGCCATATCTGTTGGCGCAGACTATCGTTAATAAAGCCGTCGGCAGTTTTGGCCAATCGTCTCAACGCTTTAGTGTCCGACAGCTTAAGACTTGTTAACACCTGAGACATCTGCTGAACCTCATTGTCAGACAAATATACAAAATGATTGTCATTATTGTCGTCTTCATTATCACTAATATTGGAATCAAACTCTTCATCACTTTGATCATCACATTTGTCTTTTAGCGATGACTTATCCACACAATTGTCGACAATTTGTTTCATTGTTTTTATGACATAAACCAACAAAACATCAATTAAAACAATGGATTCAATTGAAACCTAATTAATACATAAATTTAATTAATTAATAATTATTACAATTTTCATTTGTAATCACTGTTTACGTTGTAATCACTCAATAATGCAATGCATAACATATTAGATATTTTACAAAAATTATACAATTTTTTTGAACCCCTTTTAAAAATAAGTTATATATAAATTGCAATAATTATTAACAATACATTAGACCCCTATTGAAGTAACAGTTATTATGAATTGTTTATTTGAACACATGATTGATATAAAATGTGTTTTGAAAAGTGTTAAATGTATGATATGTTAGGTTAAGTGACTGTATATTGTTTAAAGTATTGTCAATTGATTATCCAAATTGTGTATAACCTAACATAAAATATCCCTAACTTTTTAAATACTAGTCTAAATAAATACACACAAATCTATAGATATATGAGTTGTCAATACTATTAAAGGTATGTCTCAGGGAAAGCTCAAAGTTAAGGCCAAACTGCCCGCTAATGCCAAACAACATTCAGTCCATAGGGGGTCCAATCGGGTCAACAAATGTATGGTTTTTAAAAATTTAATTATAACTGATATTTGTTTTGACATTTGTTTGTCATCAATGACAAAGTCATAGTAATATATATTTATTTATTTATTGTCTAATTCTGTCGACAGCACCGAAAAAGCAGAAGAAACTGACGAAGAATCAAATGCTACAGAAAGAGGTGACAAAAGCGATCCGTAAGAACATAGAGGATGAGTGCAGAGCTAAAGCCGATAACGACGGCAAACAAATCGCCACAACTAGTGGTCAGAAAAAATAAATAATTATTTGTGAAAAAAATATTTCAAATCAATAATTCATTTATCATATGATTTATTTTCTGTCAAATAAAAAAATGATTATTTTAATAAAATTATGTGTAATTTATTTTTTATTTAATTTATTTTCTCATTAATTCAGTAAATATTAAATATAATAATTCAGATGAAAAAACAGTATATTTGTATTTAAATAAGTTTTTAAATTAAATTATTTAATGTATTTTGCAAAACTAAATTTTTTTATACTAAAAAATTGGTTTTATGTTTATTAGTTTTTAATTTTATTAAACATTGAACAACACATATAAAAAATTATTTTATATTTTATATTTTATATTAATACAATAAAAAAATCTACATATTCTTAGCTTTAAAACTGAAACCTATTAATAACATGTTAAGAGTATAACAGTTAGACTGTTAGAGTATAAATTATATATTTAAAGATTAATTTTTATGCCAAAATTTAGACCTTATATTTGTATAATAATAATAATTATAAGGAAAGTATTTAAGACAAAAGTCTAAAATCAATTTCAAATTTAAGATAATATTAATTATATATATATTGTATAAATTTATTTACAAACAAATAATTACTTTGTCTTCACAATAAATTTATATTAAAAATTATTTTTTTAATTATGAATTTGCATAATTAAATATTTTAAAATTAATGTAACAACAAATTCAATTCAAAGTTTGGGTCAAATGATTGTTTAGCTGATGGCATAAGTTTTATATATTTCATTATAAATAATTTTATTGTCAATTAATATTTTGTGTGATTTGTGTCATTCATCACTAACTTATAAAAACTATTGAATTAATAAACAAATTACTATAAATACTAAACACAAAACATTAGTAAAAATAGTTTATATATAAGTTATAAATAGGTTATAAATACACTATTATTATATAAGATATAATTTATAATAATAATAATAATTGTTAATACCTTTAAAAATTGTGCCCAAAGTGGGCGTAACTCCACATTAAGCCGTTTCCGCCCACTTTTGTTTACAAAACATCAACTGTAGAGTGAGTTTCAAATTGATAGACATTTGACAACAAAAGGCATACATCCGATTATGACCACCGATGACCAGACAATGAAGTCATTCACAAACAATAAGATTGATCCACGACTTTGTTCCTATCGATTGGGTAACAAAATTCGCAGAACTATTAAAAAGGCGATCGAAGTGGACGCCGAAGACAACGACCAATTGAAGTACTCAATCAATGAATTGAGGAAAGCCGTGGACACCGAGGATGACAACAAACAGCTCATCACTTACGACACATTATCATCAATTCATAAATATCTGCAACGAATTGATTCCAATTATGATTTATTTTTTTATCAATTTCTCGATGAATGCAAAGTTATTTTACCACAATCTCGAAAGGTTTGGCTTCAATTAGTGTCACTTTTTGTTATAAACTATATTTATTTATTTTTTTTTATTTAATCTCAAGAACAAAGAACTTGAAGAGCGATTGATTGAACTGAATTGCAAACAATCGGTAAAAGATTACAAATCGATGACCACATCGATGGGTGGCATCAGTTCAGACAAAGAGAGTGCTTCTAGTTTTTCATTGGGCTATGAATGTAAGTCATGTGCAGTATTGTTATCTAATGAACATTAAATTCATGTCTTAAATAACTGATCCAACAGTCCGTCAAATGCGTCCGACTCTCATAGCTGTGTTCAACGCTTTTCTCACAATTGGTGGCACTTTTATCTTCGTCTACAAAGCTGTTGAATATTCTCTTCCGGAACCACACATATCCACTGTATTATTCAATAAAATATCACCATTTGTGGCCATAAGATTAACATTTTAATTATCATTAATAGCAGGTCTTAAGCGGTTTATTTGGTGCAATGATCGTAGCCGTGGCTGAAATGTATTTTTTAGTTAGAATTATCTAATCTATGATTTGTTAACATTTTTGTTTAGATTTTATTTATTTGTTATCTTAAGATAGTTTATATACAATAATCGGAAACATTATGAATAAACATTTTATATTTATGACAAAAATACTCGTTTCATCAATAATTTAATGGATTCATTGGATGAGTCTTAAGCTCATGTGGTCATCATCTGGAAGACCATTAGACGACTCATTGCTGAATAGTTCAACCGGAACTGTCAGTGGAGTCTTCTCTGGCATTAGCATTGCCGACGGCTGTCTTCGCGACTCTAAATGACGTTCCAATTCTTCCGATGTCATGTGACCATCAATTGTACTGTTGACCGATGTTTTCGATGACAGCATTGGTGTCATCATTGATGAGGTAATGGTTGAGGTAATCTCATTCTTAAACAATGGTGTTGTAGCAGTTGAAATAGATGCAGAAGTCATCGGATGATCCACTTGTATGGCCATCGACTGTGATTTCGATGGCTTTCCAGTGGAACTACTTCTCGATCGTGAAGAAGATGGTTGAGTATTTGTTTTCTTCTTTCTCGAAGAACTCGTATTAATTGGTGAATCATTTGAAACGGATTCTATTTTCTTCTTCTTTGTGTCCATTTTTTTCAATTCAATCTCTGAATCACTGGACTCAGTATTATCCGAGTCAGAAGTGGACGACTCGATCTTCTCGTATTGAAGAAGTCGGTCCAACAAATATGATTTGTCTCGACTCACCTGAAGTAATTGTCGCTCAGCTTTATTCAACTCTTCTGTGTAGTACTCATTCTCCTGAAGACGAGATAAATATATTTTTAGAAAATCAAATGAAAAATTGGTTACTCAAGAGATTTGTGACAAATTCATTGTTTAATTACATAAATCAATAGTTTGAGTTTCCTCTTCAGATGGATGTACTTCTGTTTGTAATCTATTTTGCTGTTCACACGATTATCGTCACAGATGGGCATCACTGGTGACAGATTTAGTCGCTGAAGAGGTGGTCAACAGTGATATCGATAATAATAATAATAATAATAATACTGTTGTTGTGGTAAACAATAGTCAATACAAATGTATTATGAATTGAAAGTCATTGACAAACATAACGTCAACAAAGCATTGAGTGCTTTAAATGTATTGCAAATGTGTTATCATTTGATGAGTGCATGCATTCAATGCATTGATTCAACGAAAACGTGTTTTTCAAATGAGATACCAATTGAATGATTACATTGAATGAGTCGCTTATATAATAATAAGAAGAAAATAAATTATAATAAAAATTGATTTACATTTTTCATTGTAAATATATTTATTTCAAATATTTTATTATAATTAATAAATTGATTACTATTTATATATAATAATAGCTAAATTTAATGTTATTATATAATTGTTGCTACAATTGATTTATTAGTGCCATTCAAGTGTTGACATCCAAGTCATGACTGTATTGAACATAACTATCGCTTAATAAATAAATAATCAAATGATTTGTTGTTTTTCTAATTAAATTTCAAATAATTTGTTTTTTATATTTAATACCTATTATACAGTATATGATATATAATATAATTTTTATGTCTATTATTGAGTCATATAAAAGTGTCGCTAAGTTTCAAAATAATAGCCAATCGTTTACCGAAATGATGGCCAGAAATGCCGAGATATCGCACATCAATGAGCGCCGACTTCGGCCCATATATGGTATGACTTATTGTTTGATTTATCACTTTATTTGGTCCATTCATTTGCATTGAATTACTTTACTTTAAATAAATTTAAGGAAATAATGTTAATGACTAAAATTTTTATTGAATAAGATTATAGTTAATTAGAAACTTATTTTTAAAATATCTTTAATTTTAAAATAATTTTTATACGATATCTACTGTTGACCACAAATGTCATGTGTGTATTGTATTTGTTTAACAGATTGTTTAGACAATGGCAACAACAAGAAAGCCCTTCAAGAGGCGGATAAAGTGCTGAAGAAACAGAAAGACTTGACTTGTGCTAAGGTTTTGAAGGCATTGGCACTATTAAGACTCGGCCGACAGGAGGACAGTCTTCAGATCCTTTATGACGTGCATTCAGAGTCACCGATTGAAGACTCGACACTTCAAGCGATGACTATTTGTTATCGAGAACTTCACAAAAGTATTGGATTTTATAATTTCTAAATTTTAAAACAAATTTAATTTTATTTTTGCTTTTAGTTGATCTGATAGCTGACGCCTACGAGAATGCCATCAAAAAGGATCCGAATAATGAAGAACTTCATTCGCATTTGTTTATGGCTTACGTCCGGTTAAGTAATTACAAGAAACAGCAAATGACAGCAATGGGTCTCTACAAAATCAAATCTAAGAATCCATACTATTTTTGGGCGGTTATGAGTATACTAATGCAGGTTTGTCTGAAATCTAAATATTTTTGTTTAAAACTATAACATTGAATTGAAGTAATAATATTGAATGACATTTTGACCATCAATTAGGCGATAACTTCTAAAGACCAAAGTATAACTCAAAAGATAACACTTCCTTTGGCTGAGAAGATGTGTCAAAAATTTGCCGACGAAAATAAGATTGAAGCCGAAGCTGAGGTCGAGCTCTATCTATTGATTCTGGAAAAGCAAAAGAAATACAACGAAATGTTAGCACTTATTGATAGTCCTATTGGCGCTAAACTTAACAACAATTTAGGTTTTATAACTAAGAAAAAGGCAGATCTACTGAAACATTTAGAGCGATATGAAGAGGCGTTTGAAACTTATAAACAATTGATAGACAATAATATCGATCAAATGGACTACTATTCAGAGATCATTAAATTAGCAGTTATTTTAGATGATGAGTTGGATAAAAAACTAAATGGAGATCAAAAACATTGCTCATCACATAATCTATCATTAGTTTTAACATTTATAGAGGAATGTATTCAAAGGGGAACTGATGGTTCGACCACAAGTCATCGATTGAGAAGTCCTTATTTAGCAAAAATGGATTTGTTTGATATCTTAATTAGAAGACAACAATCTCAGGGAGACGTCGACCATCTAATCAAAAGAGTTGCCAAATCAATGACTGATCTTCTTTTTGAATATTTTGTTGATTTCGGCACAAAACAAGCCATTATGTTTGATATCATCTATGTTTTAGATAAATCTTTTTTATCTGATGAGGAACTACAAAATGTAAGACTTAACTAAAAATACACATTTTTTTAAAGTTTAAAAAATATTTTTTTCTATAATTGAATTTATAGTTAGTTCTTCAGATGAGACAATCCATTAGTGATGTGTCCAATGATTACAACGAATTGAAGTCATTACACAAACACATAGTTTGTCACTATATTTGCCATTATTTGGGACAAAACGATCAGTTAGATAGAGAAAGTCGACTCAAACTCGTCAATCATTTGAATGAGTGCTACAAAAACTATTACAAGAACATTGTTTCCATAAGTGAAATCACGCCAACAGAGCAACAGCCAACTGATCCCTACGCTATTCTTATGGCAAATATATTGTTTTTAGATAAAGATTTAGACGACTCCTTAATTAGTCAAACAGTTGTAATACTTGAAAAAGTTTTAGCCAGCAGTCCGTCTAATTTCTACATTAAGTTAATGTTGATTAAGTTATACAATACAATGGGCGCTGTCGGTGCTAGTCATACGCTAATTGAGTCGTTGGACATCAAACACATCATGTATGACACGTTGGGCTACCTGTTTACCAGTAAAATGGTTACCGGCGCTCATTTTACTGCCAGTTCCCAATTGTTAGGACATATGCTTAAGTTTTATTCGGCTAACTTTAAAGATGTAAGTTTTTTTACCTTTAATTACTTTAGTAATAATAACTATATTAATACTATTTAATTAATTTAATTATTATATAATATTAATAATGGTTTTTCAGACTCTGGAGTATCTGATATCATGTTATAAATACGGATCGTTTACTAAAGTTGAAGAGATTCTCAATCTAAGAGAAAGACTTAACAATTCATTGCAATATTGTTTGTCAGCCGTCGAGCGCATGATTTTGGATCTCATTTTAGAGCCTAAAAAGTAAGTTTTATTTTAATATAAAATTATTTTTTGTTTTTTAATAAAAACAACGAATTTTTTTGTTTTTTAATAAAAACAACGAATTTTTTTGTTTATTCAGTCACACGTCTACTGAAAATATAATCAATTATATGGAGATTGACGTCGAAAACGATAAGTTTGTTTGGAGTGATATTTGCGACAATCGTGACTTTAGTGTCATAAACAGTTACCACCAAAACAAAGAAAAATTGTTGAAAGAGAAACAAATGCAAACATTTAATGATGAAATATTGTGGCTTAAGATTAGGAATCTATTAATCCGAGTAATTGCTTCCTCACATAATCTCAATTCAGACGTTGTCATCAAAAAAGAGACGACAATCACTAATAACACTGTAGTTGACGGCCAAACAAATGGCACTTTAAAGCGAAACTCAGCGGATGTTTTGAGTAATCTCTCGCTTAAGTTTAGAGATTATATCGATTGTATGCACTCATCAAAGTTTGCCGATTCATTGGTAAAATATTTTCGTATATATTGTTGAATTGTATTAACATTAACATTGTGTTTAGGTTTCACTTGAAGGCCCACATCAATCACGAATTGTATCGTTTAGTAAATTTAATTATTTTGAAGTACTAATTACTTTGATTGACTTTATTATTGCCGTCAATAATGATGCAAAAGAAGATGCCTTTACCACTGATGTCAAGTCAGCCGATATTTTTTCTTCTATTGTAAACTCATTAGAGAATATGACATCAAAGACAACAACTTTGCTATCGATTCAGACAACTCTGGAACAGTTGACTAATATTGTAGAAACACTCAGTATTTCTATTATATTTATGGGAATCTGTCAGTCAATAATGAAATCCAAAATGAATATTTCAAATAAAAAAATTAGACGTAAAAAGGACACCACAGGAACCGCTGATGACATTATCAACTCATACGTCAAGACATATGTCTCATTAGTTTCAAAGTTTGAAGAGTCGGCTCAACGTCTCGACAAACTAATTAAAACATTGAATATTAGTTCAGTCTTTTCTGAGCGTTTCAGTAGTTGTGAAATAACGGTTTGTTATATCATTAAACAATAATAATAATAATGATTTCTATTAATTAGTGTATAATTTTATATAGGATTCTGAATCAATTGTCGACAAAATCAAAGATAATGTTACCAAAAGTTACAATCAATCGATTAAGGAGTTGTCAACACTTATACAAAATAAGATTTTATATTTACATTCATTACGATTGTGAAAACCTTTTATAAGAGTATATAAACTAAAGGGTTGATTGCCTTATATAATAATTTAACAAATAACTTATTATTATACAGTCTAAAAAAAGTTTATATATATATATAGCTAAATATTTTATGTGACACTTTTATAAATTAAATTAATTAAATTAGTTTAATTTTAGATATTAAAAATAAATACTTATTGAATAAAATATAATCTACCGGTGCTAAATTATAATTTTTTATTTATCTATTTCAGAAAATATTAAAGTAATTGAATTTTAAATCAGAATATATATATAATTTACATAATTTATAGCATTAAATATCACATTTTTACTCATTTTCTTCTGAAACTCGTTTCTTTAGCCTCTTTATACTCATTAAGTGGTACTCTAAGAACTGCAAACTTACTATTGATACCCGAAATGTTTTTAATCGATTCGATATAACAACCGATAATTTCGACCAATTTCTTGAGTTGTTTCGGTTGAATTTTGAATGCTTTCTGAAGTGTTTCCAATTCAATTGGTTTATAATTAAAAAGCATAAAACTCAAGATTATACCATAAATATGTAGTCTATCTTTCTCTTTGTTAATCAATGAATATTTAACTTTTTTGGGACCCATTGGTACTGTTGTTATATATCGTTCAAATAGAAAATCTTTAACGTCTGAATTAAGTGATGGCAATGGATCTGATTTCTTCCAATCGGGTACTTTCAGACTAACTAATGTTATAATAAGATCTATATAAATAGCCATTAATTTTCTATCGGAATTGTTTGAAGAAGACAACAAAAATTTGATAAATGTATTGTCAATCGCAGCAAACATTTCCTCTTCATATTGTTTCAGAATAAACCTTTCGTTTTCAATAATTATTTCATTCATATCATAGACTTCTTCGACAGAAATCGCGTCTCGTGTTTGTTGGGGAAGAATATCGATATTTCGTTTTGGTTTCACTTCATTAATACTTGTCTCAACTTCTTTGGTTTGTGTCTCAATGTGTTCGACATCTTCTTCGCCAAACTCGATGGCATACTTTCGTTTGCTGGCCAGTTGTCTTTGTGTCCGTCGGGAACCAAATTTCTCTTTCATTTCTTCTAATTGTTCTTTGAAAGTCATTGAGGCCTGTGAGGAGATCTGTGTCCGTTCATTGGACTCGACAACGGCTTTCATGCGATACATCGACACGGGATAAACTTCGAGAACATTACCTTTGCGGACACCGATGTAATATTCAGACGCTTTGGTTCCCGACTGCTGGCCAACAAAATTCATGTTTGTATTGACGTCCAAGACATGCAATTTAGACGCTTTGTTGTCATCGGCTTTAAGTTTATAATCGGCATCAGCCGGAACTCCCGTAGAGCCAAAATGAGCCAACACTTGCCGGTCAGTGTTGGCCATCATCTTAATGGTCACCAATTGACTCATTTATTATCGTTTATATCACACATTGATTGTAAACTGTAATCAAATTCAAAATTAATGTCAAATGTTTACAATAATTGAACGGTTAATGTATAGCACATGTTTGTCATGCAATACCATTGATGTCAACGCATGCGCTCACAGACTATGACAACACATGTAATGTTGGAATCAATGAGTGAATGCTTTATTGGAATCCAATTATAATATCAATTGGTTTTGACTTTTGATTGCATTCATTGATTGATTGATTGATTGTTTCGTTTGATTGACTCATTTGAATACTTAGTGACCAACACTTTGGCTGTTATTTCGGCGATTTGTGTCTCACATGTCAACTGACTGTCGCCACCAATATGTTGATCCAACCGACGGCCACAACCGGAGACATACTCAAGAATTTGCCGGTTTTTATACTGAGCTCATCATTGAATGACAGACAAACCATTTTTAAGAGTTTGATCCAATTGGTCAATGACAAGGACATCGAAGGTTTGCTAATTGATATTAAATTAACAGTTTTTATGCATTTTTTAGATACAGTTATTTAATAATAATTATTGCATTTATTATATCTTATCTTTACATCCATTTAAACGATTAAACAGAGACAACAATTCGCGGATTGTTTAAAGTGATAATTAAGACACATATTAGATATAATGACTTGAAATCAATAGCAATAGTCAACCAATTTGTGGCACATTTGTTGAAGAAATATCCGGCGATTGGCTCCAAAAATCTGGTGCTATGTCTTCACGGTTACTGTCAACCACTCAAACAATTGAATTCAACGAAATCTATATCAAGAGTTTATTTGTCAGCACTTAAGTTGAGTGCTTGTATTGATTGGAACCAATGCGGTGATGACAATGACGTGAAGTCGAAACTCATTGAATGTCAAGCGATTCTGTGTACTCTTGTGACAAATGTTGACTCGCAGAAGATTACCGATAAAGTGTACCAAAAGTTGAAGACATTTTGGAGCCGAACACCTATTGAAGAATACTTGAATTTATTGAGACAATTGTCTGTCAATAGTGCCAACACTGATCCATCCATTGCACTTCATTTGGCTATTCTCTGGGATTTTATTATCAAATATTTATCTGAATTAAAATCAAATGATTTGATTGCTAAACATAAGTCTATATTCAGTGAACTGTTTCTTAAGCAAATAATTGGAAGTAAAACAAAATTGTCCGATCAGTTGATTGCAAATGGATTTAGATATCAATTGAAACAAATAACTCACGAAGATTTTAGCAAATCGTTTTGGCCATCAATTCAAAAGGCTGTTCTTCGCAATGCAGAAGTTGTTTTGAATTTAGTTTCTGTTATTTTCAAAGGACTTTCACTTGATTTGAGTCCATACGCCATAGATATTGGAAAACTATTGGCCACACAATTGCATTCAAAAGATGATACTCTTCGTCTGGAAGCTATCTCTGCCACCAAATATTTGGCTCAACAATGCTCTAACTCATCGGCCATTGAAGGACTTCTCAAACATTACTTTGCAGTTCTTAATGGTAGTGAAGGAAAGCTTACTATTGCTGTCCAACGATTTGGTGTTGTGTCCGGTATTGGATCACTTAGTTATCATTCAGTCAGCGGTGAAGCTCAACATCTGAGCGAACTGGCGATGGAATCCTTTGTAACAGTTCTCAAACAAGAAGTACACGAACCGACAATCATTCACATGACAGCCCAACTTCAACTTTGGTGTCAACGATTAGTTACCGAAATACCAAAACTGTTTATCGATTGGTTTAAAGCATTGCAAACATTGAAGACATCGACTGCTAACGTCAAGAGTGCATACATTTTATGTCTTAGTTCTGCGTTTAAGCAAAACATGTCAGAACAGGGCAACGATGTGCTAACTATTCTTACAAATTCGGCTCAAAAGTCATTTACGTCAACCGTTTCCCAATTGCCGAACCTTACGGAAGGTTTGTATGCTATTTGTTTACTACAAAAACTGTTTACTTTTAACAAACAGTATGAAACAAAAGTGAAGACATTGTTTAATCAGATGTTTGAAACAAAAAAGTTTGTTTTTCTGACCGACAAATTCATAAACGTTGCGAACGAAGAATCGCTGCAGACTTTGATTTTATTTATTGATAGTCTTGTCTTTAATTACGAAACAAAACTTGACTCTAAAATGGATCCAATTAATAAAGCACTTCTGCTTTTGATGACACATCCAATTTCTTATTCGGTACGCAAACAAGCTCTGACCACTACCAAGAAGTTGGCCACCAATTCGATAAACGACAAGTTTATCATTGATCTACTCAAACAATATTATCAATTGTTCAAAGACTTGAAAGATGTTCAATCAGACAGTAAGCAACAAACCGGTGATGAGAACCAACAGAACTCTGATGTGACAAAACAGCCGACTGTTTCAGCACTTATTGAATGTCATAATTCATTACTCACTTACTATAGCGATGATCACAATCTAAAACAAATACTTTTAGTTGCTTTATATTCTTCACATATAAATCCAATTTTTAAGACAAATTCAAATCTTTGGTGCAATTTATTACATAAGAGAATTGATGCAAAATCTGTGGACAAATATTTTAAAGAAAATACAGACACTATTGTTCATACAGTTCTTCGAGAGATTGATGACAATTGTGTTAAGAGTAACGCTATTTCAGCGTTGGTACGCATAGCTCCCCATCAATTTATACCGATATTTCTGGAAAAAGCGGTCAACACATTGTCATTACCCGACTTTAAGATAATCACTCAAATGGATTATGAAATATATTTGACACCCGAAGGTGAACTTTATGACAAGTCAATGGTAGACACAATGCAAAATGATTTTCAGAATAATAAAAATGTCAAACGAGAGTCTAAATTATATTCATATAAAGACCAAATGGAAGAAATAGAGCTAAGAAAGGAATTGGAGGCGAAAAAGAAAGCTCAGGGAGACATCAAAGGACCACAACTGTCCAAAAAACAACTAGAAATGAAAGAACAACAGCTTGAAAAAGAGGCACAAATTAGGGCCAAAATTCAATCAAATTTCAATGAATTCAATACAGCTATTGATTTGATCGATACTATTGCCAACAGTAATCCAAAAGACTTATCAATTTATATAAATGATGTATTGTTTGCATTGATTAACTTATTTGCGTCACCTCTTTGTACACAAATTGCCACAAAACTGTTTACTGATTTACGAAAAGCACTATTCAATCAAAAAGATTACGATCTTAAGAAATTTGGTGACTCGTTAGCTTTCATTACATTAAGACAATTGAAGCCATTGTGTCCAATTGATGACAACTGGATGGCCGGAGTACTCGATGAACGCGTTGACAATCTGATGACACAATTATATAAGCGCACCTGTCGTCCAACCGGTCGAGACTATGACGAAAAGACAGCACAATTGGCTATTAAGTTACGATTAACTGCACCCGCCTTTGCATATAGTTTTCCATTAATTCAATCACTTCTATTAAGTCCCGATACTTCTGAAGAGTTACTGCTTCATTGTCTTCAGATAGTATCAGAACACTCGCAGATGAGATTCACTTTCCATTTGGATGACGACGAGATGGAGATCTTGAAGGATCCCCGATATTTGCCCATTAAGTACATGTTTTTAACTATACTTAAAGTGATAGCTAAAAGTCCTATTCATATCGAGCAAAATGCTTCCAAAGTGCTCACTGACATTGCAATGGCTGCAAGTGGAGGAAAGGGATGCGCGAAAGCGTCATTTGATGAGGTGATGACACTACTGGAAGCGCTGAAAAGCAGCAGTGAAGTTGTCCGCAGTTCAGCACTTTCAGCTCTTGAAGTTCTTACAGATAATGTTTTAGTTAATATTAATGATGAAAAGCAGAGATTCATTTTAATGCACCGTATATTTGTGGCACAGTTTGATCCCAATGAAAGTTGTTCAACAAGTGCTCAAAAACTATTTGGTGACTGTTGTTTGAGAACAAGAGTCTCACTTAGCGATGCCTTAATTGATGATATTGTTAGTGGAAACTCTGTTATTAGACATTCAGTTGCCGGAGCTATGGAAGCATTGTTGTCTGAATTTCCCGAAGAGTCGTTAAAAGTGATTAAAAATTTAATAAATCTTTACAAAGAAAAAGCAAAAGTGTTGCCACCGTTAGTGGACAGCTTTGGAAGAACACTGGCCAACAGTCAAGTAGATATATATGAGCCGCGATTAGGTGTGGCTCTATTGTTAACACAAATTGCGCCATTGATTCCTAACGAAGCTATTAAAGAAATCGCTCATTTCTTTATTCCCGAAGCACTCGGAGATCGCAATGAGAGCGTTCAAACTCAGATGTTAGAGGCTGGCTGTGCTCTGGTCAACCTTCACGGCAAAGATAATATTACTTTATTGCTTAATGTCTTCGAGAAGTTTTTAGATGAAGCGGCCAATACTTCTGACAATGACGTTGTCAGACGTAGTGTTGTAGTCTTAATGGGAACACTTGCCCGACATATAGATAAAGACAATCCAAAAGTTAAGCCAATTGTAGCCAAACTAATTGAAGCACTTTCGACGCCCTCTCAGATGGTTCAGGAGGCAGTTGCCAACTGTTTGCCGTATTTGATCCCAGCGTTCAAAGAAGAAGCACCTTCTTTATTGCAAAAATTACTTCAATTACTTCTAGAATCTGAAAGTTATGGCGAACGTAAAGGCGCTGCTTATGGTATCGCAGGTATTATCAAAGGGTTGGGTATTTTGTCGTTAAAACAGTTGGGAATTATGGATACACTAACCGAAGCCATACAGGATAAGAAAAACCCTAACCATAGAGAGGGAGCATTGTTTGCATTTGAGATGTTATGTTCAATGTTGGGTCGACTCTTTGAGCCCTATATCGTACACATATTGCCACATCTACTTCTTTGTTTTGGTGACACCAGTACTCGTGTCAGACAAGCAACAGACGATACATCTAAACAAGTGATGTCTAAGTTGAGTGCACACGGAGTTAAACTTGTGTTGCCATCACTTTTGAATGCACTGGAAGAGGACTCGTGGCGAACAAAAGCCGGTTCTATTGAACTGTTGGGTGCAATGGCTTTTTGTGCGCCCAAACAATTATCATCGTGTTTGCCATCGATTGTACCAAAATTAATGATTGTTATATCTGATTCACATCCAAAAGTTCAGAATACAGCTGCTCAAGCACTTAAACAAATTGGTTCAGTTATCAGAAATCCAGAAATTCAGGCCATTGTTCCGGTTCTATTGGAAGCACTTCAAGATCCGGCAAACAAGACATCCAAGTGTTTGAATACTATGCTTAACACAAAATTTGTTCACTTTATAGACGCGCCTTCACTCGCTCTTATTATGCCAGTTGTCGAGCGAGCATTTCAGGGTCGGTCAACAGAGACCCGTAAAATGGCCGCTCAGATTATCGGCAATATGTATGCATTGACCGATCAAAAAGATTTATCACCTTATTTGCCATCAATCATACCTGGACTCAAACAATCACTTCTAGATCCAGTCCCAGAAGTTAGAGGTGTTACTGCACGAGCACTGGGAGCTATGGTTAAGGGCATGGGTGAAGATATCTTTGATGATTTGATGCCATGGCTAATGTCTACATTAACATCCGAGACGAGTTCAGTTGATAGATCCGGTGCCGCTCAAGGATTAAGTGAAGTAATGGGTGGTCTGGGACTCGAAAGACTTGAAAAGTTTATACCGGAAATTATTGAAACATCTGAACGAATTGATATCGCACCGCATGTTAAGGACGGGTATATTATGCTATTTATATACTTACCAATGGTTTTCACTCAAGACTTTACAATATATATCGGACGCATAATCAATCCGGTACTCAAAGCTTTGGCAGATGAAAATGAATTTGTTAGAGAAACAGCTCTTAGAGCGGGTCAACGTATAGTCAACATGTATGCCGAAACTGCCATTCAATTATTACTGCCCGAACTCGAGGCCGGGCTTTTCGATGAAAATTGGAGAATCCGATTCAGTTCTGTCCAGTTATTGGGTGATCTCTTGTTTAAGATCTCTGGTGTCACGGGAAAGATGACTACTGAAACAGCCGATGAAGACGATAACTTTGGTACTGAACAATCACATCGTGCTATTATGTATGCATTGGGAGGAAATCGACGAAATAGAGTACTTTCTGGTTTATATATGGGCCGATCGGATGTCTCACTACAGGTACGTCAGGCGGCTCTACACGTATGGAAAGTTGTGGTTACAAACACTCCGCGAACACTTAAGGAAATACTTCCGACTTTATTCTCTCTTTTATTGGGATGTTTGGCCTCCAATAGCACTGATAAGCAAACAGTGGCCGGACGTACTCTCGGAGACTTAGTTCGCAAATTAGGAGAACGTATTCTTCCTGAAATTATTCCCATTTTAGAACAGGGACTCGAATCAGATCGATCTGATCAAAGACAGGGCGTTTGTATTGGTCTGAGCGAAATCATGGCCTCCACTTCTAAAGAAATGGTTCAGGCATTTGTCGACTCATTGGTACCAACAGTTAAGAAAGCACTCTGTGATCCCTTACCCGAAGTACGACAGGCGGCTGCCAAAACATTTGATAGTTTACATTCTGCGGTTGGGGTTAGAGCTCTGGAAGAAATATTGCCTGCACTTCTTCACCAATTGGGTGATCCAGAAAAAGGAGAGTTTATTTTAGATGGTTTACGACAAGTGATGGCTATTAAGAGTAGAGTTGTTTTGCCTTATTTAGTGCCTCAAGTAAGACAATATACATAATTTTAACAATTAATGTCAATACTTAACTTATTTATTTAATCAAAACAGTTAACCGTTGCGCCCGTCAACACACGTGCTCTGTCATTCCTGTCCACTGTTGCCGGCGATTCACTATCGAAACATTTACCGAAAATACTTCCGGCACTTCTATTAGCCTTAAGTAATGCGATCGACACACCAAACGAGAAACAGGTTTGTAATTTAAATTAACAGAATTAATGTTTATTTGATTAAATTTATCAATAAATACATTTTTACAGGAATTTGATTACTGCCAATCAGTAATACTATCGGTTAACGATGAATTGGGTGCCCGAACTATTGTTGACCACCTCTTGGAATCGGCACGTAATGAGTCGTCAACCATAAGACGATCATCAGTACTGTTACTATACGCTTACTGTAGTTCACCGAAAGCCAACATATCGGCCAATACTTCACAATTGATTCGCGGATTGATTTTGTTATTTACCGATTCAAACGAACAGGTATTAAATCAAAGTTGGGAGGCATTGAATGCTATTACAAAAGCTCTGGAGAGTAAAGAACAGATGGAATACGTCCAAGAAGTTAGACAAGCTGTCCGACATGCAGTCAGTGGTCTTAAAAATGCTAATAACGGAACCAATCAATTACTGTTACCGGGATTTTGTTTAGCTAAAGGAATAGCACCGATACTACCGATATTTAGAGAAGCAATACTTAATGGTAATCCCGAACAAAAAGAACAGGCGGCCAATGGATTGAGTGAAGTAATTGAACTGACCAGTGCTGAAGCATTAAAGCCATCGGTGGTCAATATTGCCGGTCCTTTAATTCGTATTTTGGGCGATCGTTTCACTTGGAATGTAAAAGTGGCTGTTTTGAACACATTGTCTCTTTTGTTAAGTAAAGTCGGTGTTCTTTTGCGACCATTTATACCACAATTGCAGCAAACTTTTCTCAAAGCACTTAGCGATGGTCACCGAAGTGTGCGCTTAAAAGCTGCCAACGCGTTGAGTCAATTAATTATTGTTCACAACAGATGCGATCCTGTGTTCACTGAATTACATAATGTGATTAAAAGCAGTGGCAGTAGTGATGACTGGGCTATGAAAGATACGACACTTCATGCTTTGAGACTCTGTATTACACCAGCCGGCGATAAAATGTCTGATACAGTGCGCCGACAGTTAACCGCAACCATTATATCACAATTAGGATTACCAGATGATTCGTGTCGCTCGACTGCTGCCTCTTGTTTGGGAGTGTTGTGTGCGTGGCTACCAAACGATGAGCTTAACTCCATAGCCAAAGAGCACTTACTCGACGACGATATGACTGTTGACTGGACTTTACGTCACGGAAGGTCTGTAGCCCTGAGGATAGCATTGAAAGAAGCGTTCAATCGATTGGTGAAAGACGAATGGATCGATAGGATATCTAAAACACTTCTTGCGTTTATGACATCAGACAGAGTTCCCATAGTTATCAATGGCATCAAAGGTTCGGCGTATCTCATCAAAGAATATTTAGCCAAATCGGAAGTTCCGCCGCAAACTATTGTCACAGCATTTGCGAGAGTTAGTTAACTTGACTTTTATTATTCAAAAAACATAAATTTCATTCATTTGATTATTAAACTCTTGATATAATTACCGGTAACGAGTGTACCCGTAATGATAGGGTTTATTATCATTGCAATAATATACTGTAATTATATATTTTTAATGTAAATTTAATAATCAAAATAAAGGGTATGAATCACAGCAGTAATGAAGTGAAGCAAACTGTGGCCTCTTCGACAATATTTATTGCCAAATGTTCGACGCCATCGTCAATACCGGTCATACTTTTCAAATCATTGATTCCACTTCTGGTCAACGGAACAAAAGAGAAGAACACGATTGTTAGGGCCAACTCAGAGCACGCATTGGTGGCATTTCTTCGGTTAAGATCAGGCGATGAAGTGCTTCAGTCATGTATGGCTGCACTCGATTCCGGTGCCGTTGAGTCGCTTCAGGACTGTATCAATAAGACATTGAAGAAAGTGGCGCAACAACAGCACGAACCTAAAGAAGAAGAATTTGACGACACTTTGCTTACATAAAGTGATAATTTTTATATTAATATTAAAAAACAATTGACAAATAATTTAAATTTTTTTAAAAATAACGTTTTTCTTGTTATTTTCATTTAAAATGATTGAAAAAATTATAAAATTTGATATATATATAAATTTAAAATAAACTAATATTACGGTAATTATTATAATATTAATGTAAATTTAATTTCAAGCAATCAATCACTGCCTCGAAAATGATGTTCCTCTTGAAAAGCTATACGTCGACTGAAAGAAATAGTCGGGAATCAAGCCTTCGGGCGCTAAATCTTTATGGTTAACATTGCGACGAATTTTCTTCATAAACTCTTCGCAAAACATCTGAAGTTTGACTAAAGACTGTCTTTTAGTGCCTTTCGGTGAAATAGTTTCGATACGTTTGAGATAATCACTGACAATGAAGTTCAATAATTTGATAAATTGTTTGCCATAAAAGCGATACATTTTGTGAGCTGTAATTGAAAGAAACGATTCCAAAACGGCAGCCGTGATGGCAGGTCTGGGCTCGAGATTTAGGAGGCGCGACACCCAAATCCACGCGTGCTTCAGATCGTGCGGATGATTAGTTTGAATGTTGCACTGAATAACAGCCGAATAGAGTTTAACGAGTGATCGCATTCTGTTGATGAATGTCTCTTCAGATTCTGGTATTCCATCTTTAGCTACAGTAAAACCGCAAGCTATCAGATAATTGGTCTCATTTTCTGCTGAATCGCGTTTCGGATAATAAGGCACTAAATACGGACACCTGTCCTGCATATGAGCTAAAAATATTTGACCGAATATCGGAAAACGTGACCACAAAAGTACAATAATAGGAGCCATCGTTAGGGAAATATCTTTCTGTTTAGTGCTAACACTCTAGAAAAATGAACAATACTTTAAAGTCTTAAACAAATAACTTCAATTCAATTGATTCAAGCGAATAGACTTACAATAAACATCTTTGTGGTCAAACTGATGCAAAAATTAAGTGAACCATCTTTTTGTGAACAACTAATCTGTTTACCGCCGTATTCGACGGATTTCTCGTTGAATAATATTGTCAAACGATTCAATTTGTCGCGAATGTGATCAACCGATTCACACGATATCGTATTGATTGTCGTCTTCACAAACAATGTCAACTCATTCTTCTTTTGTTTAAATCTCGGATCGTTTGTAAAGGTCTGAAATGATGTCTCAAAATCGTTAAATTGTTTCTGAAGAGTCAAATAATGTTTGAATGCTTTGATATCAACAAACTCTGACATTGTGTCTGTCTTTGACTCACTGGACGTTTCATTTGTTTTGATTACTGACTCAGCAGACACTTCGGCAATTGGTTTCACTTGATTTACTTTTTGTTGATTAATATTTTGCTTCAATATCTCGATGTCTGACACTATCTTTTTCTGAATCCTAATAACATTTGACTTTAAATTCTGTGCGTTTTCAAAGTCCGATTCACTTAACACTGGTTTTGTCATCAATTTGTCGATTGTCTGAAGCAAACCATTCATCGAATTAAACTCTTGTTTTGGTAAATGAAAGTATTGATCATTTTTTATGACATTATTTAAATTATTACAAAATTGTTCAACACTTGTAATTGCAGACAACATATCACTCCTTATTATTGCCAATTGTTTTCGTCTCACTTCTGTTTGCTTTCGTAACTGTTCTTCAATAAGCATTTGTTGTTTACTTTCGATTTCTTTTAGTTTAGAGGAAGCGGTCACTGAATTGCCTTCAAAACTCATCTGTTTGTTGGAAATACTGTCTTTCAATGCCTTGTAGTCGTCGGCAAACGAATTAATACGTTTGATGGCATCCAACGTATACTTCTGTCTAATTAGTTTCAACTCTTCATCGAATTCTTCTTTATGTTTATTGAACTCAGTATTTAAATTATTAATCTTTTTATTCAACTCTTGAGAAACCAATTCTTGTCGTTGTTTTTCATAATTAATTAGATCTAATTCGGTGATTGATTCGTTCAATTTGTTACTCGAGTTCTTATTAATGAATACTTCATTTTTGTTATTAATATTATCGTCATTTAAGTTGCAATTAAATCCATTTGTCGGTTCGTTAGTCGGACTGGAGATCACCCGATATTTGGCGCGACTCTTCGGTTTCGTGTTTTCGGATGCAATGGTCGACACTTTAGGACTTATGGTAATAGCAGATGTCTTCAGTTTGACTTCACTGATAATATCCTGAATAGAATGGTTTGAAACTTATGGTCAAAACAAATGAAAAATTAGATAAAAATAAGCAAAAGACTGATCACTTGTGTCCGTCGCTCTTCCTTCCAGTTTCGGTCATAACTGAGCCGTCCTTTTGACGAGTTCTTCAGCGCTGCCAATACATCATTTGATTCATCGATGGTGTGGTTCATGTCTGTTGTGATGACCACTAGTTTTGTCGGCAATCAGTGATAAATACTTTAAGACATCATTTGATTTGAAGAGTAAATAACCGGTCTTTACATTCAATGTATGTTTTGATTGATTGAATGCATGCGCTGTCGTTGCAGTCAATCATTGAATCCAATGCTGTCATCACTTATATTAATATCCAAATCATTGGTCCAAAAGTTATCTTATAATTTGTGTTACATTTTAATTAAAACAACAATTTTTATTAATTAATTAATATTCGAGTGATTTAATAAAATAAATAAATAAATTTATATATATATAGTATATATTAATTTAATATATGATAATGTGTTTTATGTTTCATAGACTATATGTTAATAATAATAATAATAATTTTATTTAGCTTAAATGCAATGTTATACATAACAAGTTGTATACAATATTACAAAAAGTCATTAATATATTTAATAAAATTACAGTATTTTTCTTCATTTCTTATATACAATGGTAATGAATTAAATAGGTTTATACAATAATTAATATAATTTTTATCAAATAAATCAATCCTTTTAAATGTTTTTTTAATAAATAAACCATTTCTAGATGTTTTATAAAATTCAAACAAATAAAACCAATTATTAGGTACAGTATTATTACATGTTTTTATTTTGAAAATAAGTTTCAACGCTTTTAATTTTCTTCTTTTTTCTAATGTAATTAAATTCAAATATTTTAATCTATTAATATAACTTATGTCTAATTTTCCTAAATTGTTACAAATATATTTTGTTATAACTTTTTGGATTTTTTCAATTTTATGTGATTGAGTTAAAGTAGGAGTAAAGCATGAATTTGAATAGTTTAAAATCGGTAAAACATAGGTTTTATACAATTGCAAAAATATTTTACTGTCAATATTTTTACATAAAAATTTTAAAAAATTAAATTTAGAAATAGCTTTACTATAGATTTCATTACAATGTATATTAAATGACATTTTATTATCATAAGTCAATCCTAAATGTTTATGTTGATTGACTGATTCAATAATTGTATTATTTATTTTATATTTTGATAAATCTACAGATTTTAATGTAACTCTTAAATGTTTTGTTTTATTTTCATTTAATTTTAAACCTTTAATATTACAATAATTTTGAAAATTATTTATATTTGTTTGTAAGTTAATAATATCATTGTATGATTTAACTGCCACTAACATTACTATATCATCAGCCCATTGAAAAAATTGACAATTTAAATAATTTACTAAATCTGATACATAAATATTATATAAAAGAGGGGAATAGACAGCTCCCTGAGCTACCCCGCTATAGACAGGTTCACATTTAGATGACATATTATCTAATTGTATGAATTGTTTGCGATTAATTAAACTATCTGTTATTAAGTTTATGTAATTAGTTGGAAAATTTAGCTCATATAGCATTTTAATTAGTTTACTATGAGGTACAACATCAAAACAATTACTTAAATCCATAAATATTAAATCAATACATAATATATTTTTATCGTTTAAGTGATTATATATAATATTCTGAATATCAATATGTTGGTTGTCAATACCAATATGTTTTTTATAACCGTATTGTTGTTTGGGAATAATATTATTTAATGCAATATAAGGTAAAATTTTATTTAAAATAATGGTATCAAATAGTCTTAATAAATTTGATTGTATTGAAACTCCTCTGTATGAATCAAAGTTGTGCTTATTTTTATTTTTTTTTAAAATAGGGCTGACTTTTACTAATAGCATTTTATCGGGAAATTTACTAAAACTTATGATTTTATTATACAAAAAATATAACAACTGTGTTGAACCGTTTAAACAAGAATTTATAATTTTATTGCTTAGAAAAGTAATTCCCTGAGATTTATTAAATTTGAAACTCTTGTATGCATTTAATATATCATTCATAGAGACAGAAATATCAGGAAAATTGTCATTAATTTGTAATTCACTTAAACTAATGTTTTCTTTTGTTTTTCTATAATTAGATAAAAAATAATTTCTAAAATTATCTAATATTTCTTTATTTTCGGTAATAATTTTATTATTTTGTTTAAAAACTAGATTATTATCAGATTTTACTAATCTTTTAATATGTTTATAAAATTTGTATAAATTTGGAGATTTAGTTATGATTTTTGATATTTTATCACTTTCAAATTTTTCGATACTAGTTTTAATCTTATTACTTATTTCGGTATAAATATTTATAAAATTTGAATCGTTTTTAAACTTTTTTGTTAATTTTCTCTTTTTAAAAATTAGTTTAATTATATGTTTTGGATATTTTATGTTTGTTTTGAAAATTTTTGTCTTATAAGGTATAAATTTATTAAATATTTCATTATATTTGGTTTCTATTTTGTCATAAATAGCATTAATATTATTACAAAATCTACAAATGCTATCCCAATTAATATTAGATAAATTTTCATTTAATATTTTTAAAGTCTTTTCATTCAAATTGTATACATGTTTTTTAGTAACTATTGTTTTTATTTTGATTGGTATTTCAATTTCGAAATAAACCGCTTTATGATCACATTTAAGTGATATATTTTCTGTAACTTTTATAGTTTTGATTTTATGATTTACAAAAACTAAATCTAATAATGAGTTGCTTGTATTATATGTAATATTATTAGTTAATTGAATAAAACCATAATTTAAAAATAAATCTTTGAAATTATTTACAAATAAATTATTGCTATTAAAATTAATATTCATATCACCTGTTATTATAATTTTATCAAAATTTTCAGTACTTTTTGATAGTTTTTTCAACTCATTTTTAAAACTTTTAAAAATATAATCTTTTGAATATTTATTTGGTGGTAAATAAATCGTAATAAATAAATATTTCTTATTTTTTATAATAACTACTGTAGATATACTTTCAAACTCAGAAAATATTTCAAAATTAATTATTTTGTAATTATTTTTTACAGCAATAAAAACACCTCCTCCTTGACTATCCCTATCTTTTCTAATAATATTATAATTACTTGTAATTTGCTTATTATTTATAGTATTTTTAAGCCAAGTTTCGTTTGCAATAAATACATCTAAATTTAGTTCAATTAATTTACTATTGAATTCAATAATTTTGTTGCATATGCTTCTAGTGTTTGCAAAATAGCATTTTAACACATTATTATTGGAGTTATTATTTACATTACTTGAACTAATTGTGGATTCAGTTGATGAACAAATTGATGGCTTCTTTGCTCTAAAATTGGATAATTGTTTGGTTGAATTGACTGCGAATTCATTGACATTGGTATGTGTTGTGGATGTCTTTGATTTTGTTGATATATCACATATGGTATGAACTGTTGATTTGATTGTGTGTTTTGAAACACACGAGAGTTGGGCAGAAAAACCTCTCTTCTGTTTTCATTACCATTGATATGATATCTGTTTTGTTGTGTATCAGCTCTTAGTCTGCAGTTTCTGGCGATATGTCCGACTTTTTGACAGTTAAAACACTGTATTTGTCTTTTATTATCTCTGATATGTTTATGTCTTTTGTCATTGAAATGGTAATGACTTTTAATCCTATTGTTGCCATTCATTAAACGCATTTCTATACTTTTAAGCCTTTTCTCGATTGTGTCTAAATTGACGATTCTTTGACTACTTATGACTTCCACTTCATTATCTCTTTTATAATTAACGTCATTTGTTTGGTTGTCATTCATGGTGTCTGTGAAAGTGTCTTGAGTTGTGATATTTGATGATATTTGTGATGAAACTATTGGCACTTCTGATGTCTGTTGCGATGACACGTGTGTTGAGATGTCTTCTAGTTTTGTCTTTTCGTTTATAACGATATCAACCATTTCTTGGATGAATCTTTTGACGACCTCTTTCTTGATGGCATTAGTGTTGGTATCAATTGATTCATTCAATTCTCTGCTTTTTGATTGCAAACTATTGATCAGATTAGTGATCACAGAAAGTGTATTGATTTCAAACATAATTATTTATAATTTGTTTCAATCACTTGATATCACAATACGTAAATGTATAATATTTATGTCAATATTTAAATATACTATTAATTAATTAAATCATATTAAAAAATAACTTTAAATTTGAGAAAAAAGTGTTTTGGTCGCCATTATAATGACACCATTTTAATCAGTGTATTACCCGGTAATTGTTTTTTATTACTTTTTTGGTTTTTCAATTATTTAATGACTCGTTTGTAATAAATATTATTGCATTTATTTAAGTATTTATTTTTGCAGATAATTATTATTAATAATTGAATAATTTATTATTATTAAAATTATTTTTATAACAAATCTCAGTTAATGTATAGATTAATACAAATGTTAACAATGCTTAACATTAATTAATTAATTATAAATAATATTACTGTATAGTAATATATATAGTAATATATAGTAATATACCCGTAAAAAGTAAATTGCTAAATACAATATTGTTGCTAAGGTTGACCTAGCTCATTATACATTATAGCTCATGTGTTATATTATATCAATTTATTATAATTCCAACCATAATGTCTCACAAGTTTTATAACATAATTGCTTTTAATCACAAAACATGAAATATAATTTTGCAAAAGATATCATAAAATTTTCATTATTATTTATATTATTACATAATTAGTTACTAAGTTTATATAAACTAAACTACATATCATATACAGTACAGTATTATTATTAGATATTCAGATTTAATTTTTTTTAAATAACTAACAAAATAAAGGTTTTTATTGCTATTTTCCTCTAAATGACTGTCTTTCTCGTGAAACTAACATTTTAATCGATGTCTGTCTTGAATTTTCTTCAAAAAATGCTATAACTATACAAAAAAAAGTAGAAAATATATGCAAACATCTAACTTAATGCCAAAAAAAGCAAATCATTGTTTTATTGTACTGCTTATTATGCGATAATTTGGTTATTTTTTTCTCTTAGCTGTTAATTTAAGTAATATAATAATTAAAGATAATTGTATTAATATTTATTCACTAAAATTAATCCTAAAAATCTAATCATAAATATTTACTTTTTATGTGATTGATGTTAATAAATATTTTGGGAACTAATGACTGTTAAGCTTATGTATAATATATAATTGATTTTATTTTTCAAGTTTGCTTTACTTATGATAACTGTGAACATAGCTATAGCTCTACACAGGTATGTCATAAAAAAATCACGTGAATTACTATCTTTATAATTGTTACCCTTTATTAACCGTTGAATATATGATAAAAAATTGTATTTCTGTACAAAATTCATTGTATGATATTATATAATTTTTTTTATAATAATAAAATTACATAATTCATGTAAAAGGATAAATATCTGAGCGATAGATAGAGTGATCAATCATACAGTATGTCAATGATATCTAAGTAAATAATATCCAAATTAAGTAATAAACATAATATAATGTAATTAACAAAGATTATTAATAATTTTAATATAAATTACATTAAAAATAAATACAGTGTTCAAGTTTCTTAACTTAAGTGTTATTTTATATATTTTTAGTAACATTTCAATTAATTAAAACTTTAAATTACTTCCTATTCAAATATAAAAGTTTTGTAAATATTATTTTAAAATAAATAGATGTCTCAGAAACTTTATAACGTTAATACAACTACACATTACTTTACAATTAGTTGGCCACTCTAGAGATATAATGAATTTATAATAATAATAAATATTATTATTATTATAATAACAACAAATATGCAAAATGTGATAAAAATTTAAACAGTCTTTTAATACATTATCCTCAGCCGACTCTATAATGTAATGACATTACAAAACCAAAAACCACTTATAAATCAAAAGTTATCGCAAAAACTCTTATTTTATAATATTATTTCTTATAATATTATATATTATTATTATAAGTACCGAATTATTTCTTTCTGAGCATTAAAACTACTTAACATTTATTTATTTATAACACGACATTAAATGTTAAGACATTTTCAAAAATAAAAATAATTTTTTTTGAATGCCGTCTGCATCTACAGTAAACATTTGTACAGTAAATGTGATTATTGTAAGAAAGAGACCCAAAAATAAATCTCTGAATAATAATAATTATTATTCACAAAATATCTACAAATTATCTAATAATAGTTTTCTATAATTTTAGTATAAAGTATATATATAGTGAAGTGTCAGCACCGACACTGAAGGTATGTGTCAAAAGTTTTTGTTTTGTTTAAATAATATATAAATCATTTCAATGAAATTTCAATTAAATGTATAAAATATTGTACAGTTATTATTTGTTAAATGTCTTTATAAAATTATATACAGTATATTCACTATAGTATATAAAAATTATATTCAATTTAAAGACAACAATCACTGATGATTGCCAATCATAATCACTAAAAATCAAGGGCAGGCTATACATCCATAACTGAAATCTGAAAAAATTAATTTTTGCTAATTTAAAAAACACTTTTTTCATATTATTAAAACGTCAAACGTTTTATAATGCAATTATTTAAAAAAAAAATAACTAACGGTATTGAGAAATACTTGTATTTTTTATTTTCAAAAAACATATTTAACATTTAATAATAATAAACATAATGATTACCAAAAATATATAATAATATCCTTATTTTATGGTGTAATGACATTTTTACCATTAATAGATTATTTTTTTAAAATAATAATAACGGCAATATTATTATATTAGTGTAAACAAATTATTACCATGTTTATTTTAAAAAAGAAACTTACTATTTTATTTGCTTATTTTATGTATATTGTCATCAATTAATTATCCATTTATCTAAATCAATATACATTTATAACTAAACAGTAAGGGGTGCACAATATTATAGTATTGTATAGCATATATAGTAATACTTTTAACATTGTTCCCAAATAATCGATTAAATGAAATTTAGATTAAATCGATAAAAAATTTCCACAATTAATGAGAGAATAAAAATTTTTCTATTATATTGAATGCTATAAAATTGAATAGATTTTTTCATAAAAGACAATCAATGTTTACAATCAGAAAAATTAGTTTATTTGTAAATTGTCGGTTAAAATAAATAACATTATAATCAACAGTTTATTATTATATTTTAAAACTCATTTGATAACATTTTTTTCTTATATGTTTGTACGGATAAAGTACTCTTTTGTACTTTTATTTTGTTATATTTTCTTTTACTGTATAAGATATTATTTATATTTTGATTATTTATAAGAAAACATATAATTTAAAAATCACAAACATCTGTTGAAAAAAATAGTTTAGTTTTTGTTAAGCGTGAAAATGTCAAAATGCTTTAAATATTCAAAACAGTAAATTACAGATTAAAAAAAATATCATATCAACAACAAAAATAACAGATCGAAGTAGAAAAACTAATAAAATTTAATTCATATAATAATTTTGTGTGTTATTGTATGTAATTTTATATAGTTATACATATTGATTGACTGATCCTCTATTTTATTTAAAAAATAAAATAAATTAAGAAATCATATCATCGGCTGAAGGAAATATGTCATAAAAATACTAATAATCTGATAGGACTTTAATATATCTAAACTCTAAGCCAATTAATATAATTAACTAATCAGATGTACTTCATATATCATATATGTTATCAATTATACAGAGTTTAGAAAAAAAACATTTTAAACATAAAAAATATTTAGTATTAGTATTGTTGGAGAGACAGACCACTTATGCGACAACAACAACAAAAACTTATAAAAAGAGAGCCGACACACACATCACAGAAAATATTAAATAAAGTATTTAATAATAATATTTTATAATAAATTAATATAGTATTCAATATTTTCTAATATATTATAACACAATTATATGATATTTTGTTTGTATAGTGAGTGCACATATTTTTCACGCTTTCAATACTACTATTGTGTTGTTTATCTTTAATAGCGATACTAATTTTTACTGTAGTTTACCACATAATACATAGTACTTTATAAGTGCACACATAAACAGTATTATGTGTTTCAATGAATATATATATTTTTAGCAATTTTTATATATTATATACGATTTTTATTTTTATAACTTTTACAATCATTAAAAAATTAAGTGCTCACCAAAGCGTTACCATTGAAAATAGCATTCATAACAATATTTTTCTACTCTATATTATAATTTTCAAATTATATTAAAGTTAATTTATGTATTATAATTTATAAATGCCATTAAATTTTCACTAATTGCAAGAATATTCTGCATTTAAATAATAATTATTTATTTCTCATTTCTCACAGTTTTTATGAGTTTTTGACATTATTTTTATTAGTTAATGTCAGTAGTGAGTAGTACTCATTTGTCTCAATTTTATTTATTATAATTATAGTCATAATACATGTGTATATTTGAAGAGAAAACAAAAATTTGACTGATTTTCAAATCGGATAACAAAATATATAATATCTTTCTCTCTCTATTGGGTTTTATTGAGTGAATTATTTCTCATAAGTGTATAAAATATCATTAGTTAAGACAGTATTGAGTTTCACTTAAACTTTAAATTAAATACAACTACTTCTTCAAGTTTTAAGTCGATGTATATTTATATTTGGTTTCAATTTAGAAATATATATATAAATGTCATTTCAATAGATTTTATTATAGGCCTGTTTTGAGAGGAGTGACTGCCTTTCCCTCTGATGTGGAGTCAGACTCAGTCCGATACCCTAAATATAAGTACTGAATATATTTATCTCACATTTTTATGCCCTCTCATTGTTGGCCTCAAGTTATTTGAAGTCAAACACACTGTTTTAAGTACTTTAAATGTCACTTATCTGATGAAATGGCAAATATCAGTAAATTTTGAGACAAACTATCGCCAACTTATAACTACAAGTATTGTATAGTTTAGTTGTCTGTAAATATCATATTATTCTGTGTGTTATTTCAGGAACAATATGCAGACCCTCTCTCTCTCTCTCACACACACAGCACAGGGAGGTCGAGGCATATCATCAACAATAATACATATCATATATTCTTAGCCAAACACATGGCAACCAAATGATTGGCAAATTTTTTTGTTTCACTAACTTTTTTTTGTTTGTTTGTAACATTTTAATTGCAAAATTTCAACATATATTTTCATTGCAAACCAACAATTATTGCATATTTATTATGAATGAAAATAACAAAAATATATACTTTTTTTAATATTATAAACACACAAATCTAATCATTGAATAATAATAATAAAAATGATACGATTTTATTAAAATAACATAAAGAGTATTATTATTAGTATTAGTATATAAATCGAAAGTTAGTTTGAATTTGCTATGGATTTGATTGAGGACTCAGATCATCATTAGTTAGCAATAGTGTGTCCAATGGTAAGGAAGCACTGGTAGTCACATGTGTTGTCTATCAGTGTGTTGTCTCCCTCTCCACCGTTAGTGTCGGTCTCTCTCTCTCTCTCTCTCTCTCTCTCTCTCTCTCTCTCTCTCTCTCTCTCTCTCTCTCTCTCTCTCTCTCTCTCTCTCACTCTCACTACTAATACAGTACTTTACAGTAATATTGTATAAATGCATCAATGATTACATCATCCCAACAGTGCTCTCAGTTTGTCCTTCAAAGTCATTGAGCTTTTGGTCTTCAGCTCTAAGTTTTTTGCAAAGCATTGCAAACGAGTACCGCATTTGTAGTCATATTTGTGTGCAAACAGAGTCAGAGAGACTAAAAACAGTTGATATTATAATATAGATATTAATTATAAATACATTTATATTAACTTACTTTTTATATCGCGTTGTTTTTCAGTTAAAAAAGCATTGCTTAACAGTTATAGCCATTGAAATGCTTTCAAATAAATAATAAAAGCATTGAATTCAATGAATCAATCAATGAATAAAGTATTCCATTGAATGAAAATCATTTGATTAGTGGAAAGCAATACAACATTTGGAATACCAGTCAATCAATCAATCAATCGATTCGATCGTTGAAAACGTGTTTGACTTCCAAAACATTTTACAATTAAATTGCAATTCAATTGACTGAACACTGGATCTGACCATTGATTTAGTGACCACTTCTTCATCACTTTAAGTTGTGTGCCATAAGTGTGACCGCAATTTGATGACCTTTTAAGTTGTTTGTCCGCTGCAAGCGATCGCCGCATATAATTGTTTTACTATCGAGTGATGACTTTAGAAGAAAGTCATGTCAACGAAGAGATGGCAGACTCGGCGTCTGTTGACCAGAAAGACGATGACCAGAAAACGACGGTCAATGGCAACGACCAAGAGTTCATCTTCATTCACGACACGGGTTTCAATGTCCACATTGCCAGTCCCGGTATCGAACCGTTTGAAGTACAGGTATGTGTCCAGTGATAAGTTGATCCAATAAATCAATTCATTGATTTCATGTTTACCTTACGGTCCATTAAATGCCGGTTTGCTTTCCATATGATTACTTAAAGGTTAGTGCCATGGAATTGGTACAAGAAATTCATCACTTATTGATGGATAGGGAGGACACGTGCCATCGGACATGTTTTTCATTACAATTAGATGGCTTAACATTAGATAATTTTACTGAACTCAAGAACATTGAAGGCCTTAAAGAGGGTTCAGTTATTAAAGTGGTTGAAGAGCCGTACACTGTCCGCGAGGCACGCATTCACTTAAGACATGTCAGAGATTTACTCAAGTCATTGGATCCGTCCGACGCATACAATGGCGTCGATTTAAATTCACTTTCATTTGTTAATACTATATCTCAGTCCGATGTTTCAGGTCTGTCTGTAAACCATTTTTATGTCATTTTTGATAGTTATTTGTTTTTATTAATAATAATTTATTAACAGAAAAGAAAAGAATTTTACGAACAGATTCTGTGGACTGTACGCCACCCGACTATATACTTCCCAATTGTAAAGACAAACAATTGCTTCCATTGCAGCCACAAACCAAAGAACAGAAGGTCTGATAAAATTATTATTGAATTTTTATTTTAAATTATTAAATATAATTTGTATGCAATTCAGGGTCCGACAGCTTTAAAGGTAGTGACAACTAGCGGTTGGAACCCACCGCCGGGCACTCGTAAACTTCACGGAGATTTAATGTATTTATATGTTATAACACTGGAAGACAAACGATTTCATCTGACTTCGTCAACGCGTGGTTTTTACGTCAATGAATCGACTGAAGAGGAATTCAATCCAAAGCCATCGAATCCGAAAGTAGTGTATCATTCGCTCATCGATTTACTCAATCAAATTAGTCCTACATTTAAACGAAATTTTGCTGCCATTCAACGTAAACGACATCAAAGACATCCATTTGAAAGAGTTGCCACTCCTTATCAGATGTACTCCTGGACGGCACCACATCTCGATCACACCATAGACTCCATTCGGGCCGAAGATGCCTTTTCATCGAAGTTAGGATATGAAGAACATATTCCCGGACAGACACGTGACTGGAATGAAGAATTACAGACTACTCGTGAATTGAAACGCAAAACACTTCCCGAACGACTTCTTAGAGAGCGTGCAATTTTCAAAGTTCACAGCGATTTTGTGGCCGCAGCCTCAAGAGGTGCAGTGGCTGTCATTGATGGCAATGTTATAGCCATAAATCCGGGAGAAGAGACCAAAATGCAAATGTTTATCTGGAATAACATATTTTTTAGTTTAGGATTTGACGTTCGCGACCATTATAAAGAACTGGGCGGTGATGCAGCCGCCTATACCGCGCCCACAAATGATCTACAAGGGGTTAAAGCTTACAGTGCCATTGATATTGAAGGATTGTATACCTTAGGAACGGCTGTTATTGATTATAAAGGTTACAGAGTGACCGCTCAAAGTATAATCCCTGGTATTCTTGAGAGAGAACAGGAACAGTCAGTGGTGTACGGATCAGTCGATTTTGGAAAGACAGTTGTGACTCATTCAAAGTATTTAGAATATCTCAATAAAGCAGCACAAGTACTAAAAATACTGCCTCACAAAGTGGTCAATGAAAATGGCGAAGAAGTTGAGATTTGTTCATCAGTTGAGTGCAAAGGAATTATTGGTAATGACGGTCGACATTATATATTGGATTTATTGCGCACTTTTCCTCCGGACACCAATTTCTTGGTTGTTGATGACGAAGAGCTTAGTAAAGAAGTACAAGCGATGGGATATCCTCGTCAACACAAACATCGATTGTGTTGTCTGCGCCAAGAATTGGTCGATGCATTCTTCGAAAGTCGATATATGATGTTCATTAAGTTAGCGGCCTTTCATTTACAACAAAAAGGTTTAAGAACTCTCAGAGAACAAGAGATCAAAAATAAATCTATTGAAGCCCAAGAAGTTAGCGATGATATTGAGATGACTGACAACGAAATTAAAGGTGATATTAACGAAGAGAGCAAAGAAAATCAAAAACCATTGCAAGATAAGAATGATAATAAAACTGAAGAAGAAACTGAAAATTATAAGAAAATAGTGGAATCGTTTACAAATGGAGAGAATACTGAAGTGGACAGTACTAAAGAGATTATTAAAAAGGCCGCACAAGCGGTTGGTTCACTCAAAGACAATGAATTTGATATTCGTTTCAATCCGGATGTCTTCTCTCCCGGAGTAAACAATTCTGATTCAACCGGAGAATCATTGAAAAAACAGAAGCAATTGGTGAAAGACGCCGCAGAGTTTCTATTAACCGTACAAATTCCGGCCTTAATTCGGGACGCATTGGAACATACGACCACTCCTTTCGATGGATTAACGTTATCTGAATCACTACATAATCGCGGAATTAATATCAGATATTTGGGTAAAATTGCAGAACTACTTGTTCCTCACAAATCACTTGAATATCTTCATGTAAGACAATTGTTATGTCTATAGTATTTAATTTATAGATCTAATGATATTATTGTTGATCACAGAGTATTGTTGTCAATGAACTGATATGTCGTTCAGTCAAACATATCTTCACAAACTATATTCAAGGCATCGAAATGATGAGTCTTTCGTCAGCCATCAGCCATTTTCTCAATTGTTTTCTCTCCTCCTGTCAATCAATTCCTCAGCCGTCGACCATTGATGAGCTTCAGTTCAGGCAATCGCGTCGCAAGAATAGACGTAAAACTCGTCAAAATCTCATCAGTTCTCAAGACAACAATGATTGGGTAAATTTGACGCAGAAGTCCTTCTTTAATAGTTTGCGCAATGAATTGGACTCTTATTACGGGTGGACTTTGAACAGTGATTCCATAGACAGTTGTATTGAAACCTATAGTTTGCAGAAAATCTCAATTTTGCGCATTTTCTGCATCAAGACTGGCATTCAATTATTTCTTCGCGAATACAACTTTGACCACAAATCTCGGGCCACTTTTATTGACGACGACATTCTCAATATGTTTCCTGTGGTTAAACACATCCATCCACGAGCTTCTGATGCATATAACTTTTACTCTACAGGTCAACGAAAGATACAGGAGGGCTATCTCAAGGAGGGTTATGAACTGATTAGTGAAGCATTAAACTTATTAAACAATGTTTACGGTGCAATGCACCCGGAGATTGCACAGTGCCTTAGAATGTTGGCCCGACTTAACTATATTATGGGCGATCACGTTGAAGCCATTTCCTTCCAACAGAAAGCAGTACTCATGAGTGAAAAGGTCAACGGTATCGATCATCCCTACACTATCACTGAATACGTAAGATTTGTCTTAAAATGATGTAATGATGTAATGATATTCTTAAATTGATGTCTATGTCTACCACTTTAGACACATTTAGCTTTATATTCCTTCGCCAACTCTCAAGTGTCCACTTCATTAAAATTTTTATATCGCGCACGTTATCTGCTATCACTTATTTGCGGTGAAAATCATCCAGAAATGGCTATTCTTGATGTAAGTCTTAATATAAAAATTAAATTACTATTAATAATCGTTAACTAAAATATTAATATAGAGTAATATTGGTTTAATTCTTCATGCGGTCGGAGAATACGATCTATCGCTTCGTTTTCTCGAAAACGCTCTCAAATTGAATTTGCGTTACTTCGGACCCAAAAGCCTTAAAGTTGCCGTCAGTTACCATTTGGTTGCCCGAACCCAGTCATGTATGGGTGACTTTAGAGGAGCTCTTCACTATGAAAAAGAAACTTTTGCCATATATAAGCAACAATTAGGTGAAGAACACGAAAAGACTAAAGAAAGTTCAGAGTGTTTAAGACATCTAACACAACAAGCAGTAGTTCTTCAGAAGAAAATGAATGAGATATACAAAGGCAACTCAGCCGCAGTCATACCTCCCATTCAAATACAACCACCATCTGTGAGCTCAGTGCTCGATATGCTCAACATTATCAATGGTATCCTTTTTGTTCAACTTAGGTATGGCTATTCATTATACTGTTATTAAATGAGATTTAAAAAATTGATTTTATTTTATTATATTAGTCCTCAAGACGTTGAAAGCTTAAAAGGAGAGTTCGCTAATACTAATGGAAAGGAGATAACAGACTCTTCATCGCCTAAAAAGAGCGCTCAAACCAATGGATTTGCTAATGAATCTGATTTTGTTAAAGAAAACAACGAAATCAATAAACAGTCGGTCATCACTAGTGAGGGATAAAATTGTGATGAAAGTGATGCCTAAAAAACAATACATTTAATTTTTAAAACTAAATACTAGTGTTTTATCACAAGAAAATTATACAACGAAACTAAACATTATTAGTGAATCACATTATTATTTAGTAACTGAAACTAATTTTTTGACAGATGTTTGCAATTTAGGAATATTATATATATAATAAATTTATTGTATTTTTAGTTTTTTTCTAATTCATAGGTTAACTAATTATTATTTTGACATAAGTTGTTTCATTTATATATAATATAAATATATGTTCATATATATGATATATATATATATATACAACAAATCACAACAAATATATTTTTTAGTCAATCGACACTTACGGTATATTCACTGAAAAACAAATATTTTTGAGCATAATTTTTAAAAACTGATTTAATTAAATAATTATTAATAATATAACTATGAAATGTGTGTCAGAGTGTAATAATTACACCATTTAATGAATTTTTGTTGTTTTTTCGGGTATTTTTATGTACTTATAGAGTATAGTCTAACACAAAAAAGACTGCATTTTAAACTCAGTTATTAATTTGTTCAATGAATATAATTCCTAATATTTACTAGTTATTATAATTATTATATTAAATAGTTATAATTATTATTATTATATATAATTTTTTTAGTTTTATGAGAAAATTTTATTATCAATAAATTAGTAGAGTTTATGAATCGGACGATATGTTATATTATGGTTTTTTAAGTCACAGTTATTATGGTGATAGTGATAGTGATAGCGGCAATCAATGGATAAATTAGATGCCAATCCTCCACAATGTCTTGTATTTGAGTATCACTTATACATCAAAGCACTCAAACAACACATTCAAACAAATTGTTTTGTTATTTTGATTATTAATTAATTGATTATTTTTTTAGACTTTAATGATAATAATTATTTTTAAATGACTAGTTTTGCCAATAATTGTTATGTGTTAAACTCAAACCTCATTATAAAACAATACAAATCACTGTTTAGTTTTTTTATTTAAAAAATAATTTAATTAAAACTTTATAATTATTATATTATACAACTAATATAAATTACCCAATTTATAATTTTGTGATTTCATTTAATTGCATTGATTTGTAGCTCAAAATTTAAAAAATAGTTATTAAAATTATTTTTCAAATTATTAAAATTATTTGATTTAATAAAAAAAATATTAGTGTAATAATGATAAAATTTATCTCTGGGTTATAAATATGATTCAATTGGATCAGTTCAATGACATGAATGATGTTTCATCTTATAATCAATTGGTCGCTAAGTTTGGACAGTAAGACAATGACTGCAGTCTTACACAACATTGTAGTGTATTAGTCAATACATAGCTTGTGTTAATGCAATGCAATGTTTGAATTGATGTAAACATAACATAAGGTTTACAGTATATAAACATTTCATCATTGATTGCAAATTGCAATGCATTTCATAATCATAACATCAAACAATACAATCGGTATTATAGTTACCGATAGTTATCTATGAAGTGACCATTTTTGTTGACAACACTGATCACATCCACCACATCGTTGTCCAAATCAGTCATGTCATCTCTCAGATTATTTTGTCGACACTTCTGTGATAATGCCAGTCATCGGAGGCCGCCTTCCGGTGATAATTATGTCAAACCTATATCACGTCTCAAGACATTTATGTCCAAACAACTGATGAAGTTTATCGAAAGTTATGAGAAAATTCTTGAAAAACGATTTCCAAAGACATTCAAAATATACAGAGTCTTCACTATTGGTTTGTATTGGATATCATTTATTTTGATTTATACCATTAATTATCTCATCAATGATTTATATCATTAAAAAATCATTTCATAAATTGGTTTCTTATGAAATTAGGTACAAAAGACTTTTATAACGACAGCATTGAATACATACGTATATCTCGTGAACTCTTGGGTGGCAAAGAAGTCCATGAATTTAATTATAATGAACTAATAGTTTATAAATATATGCCTAAATACATGGCACGCGTTGGACCTGTTTTGATGGTAACAGTCCTTCCGTTTACTAATTATCTTATATTTCCGTTGGCCTATTGGTTCCCAAAGTATTTACTATCGCCTCACTTCTGGACATTGGAACAGAAACAGCTGTTTCAGGCACAGGATCTCAAAAAACGGCTCTATTATTATCGACCAGTGTTTAGGAATTTGCAACAGAAATTGCAAACCGTGACCACTGATGATGGCCTTCAAGAGAAATTCCGGTCAGTGTTTGCCCAACTCGGCAGCGGAACTCATCCCAGTTTTGAAGATATAATAGACTTAAATCAGTCATTTTTTGGCAAACCTTATGGAATCCATAACTTAAAGTCAAGACATTTGGTATTAAATATTTTCAAATCATTTAACCAAACATTTAAGATATAGTTTTATACAAATTTCAAAAATTTATTGGAGTCTAAATTGCATACATTTTATTATTATTTGTCAAAATAGTAGTTCAAAACAGTATATATATACTGTATATATATCAGTCTAATCTAAAAAATATGATTTTATTAAAAAAAATGGTTTGTATTTTCAGACAAACTTGTGTCGAATGCATGGCTTGAGTGCCTTTCCTTTGGGCAAAAAGTCGCGACTATTAAATCACATCGGATTTGTACGTGAATTAGATTTGGCAATCGATAGGACAGGCATTCAATCGCTTAATTTGGATCAAATCAAGAGAGTTAGTCTAACCCTATGTTAAATAGTATACACAATTCATTATTAAAGCTTTTACTTTCTAAAAATCTAATACACAATTAAAGGCCTGTTTTATGAGAGGTTTGAACCCAATAGAGTTGAGTAAAGAAGAAATGATAACATGGCTCGAGTTGTGGATTAAAGTCGCCCACAAAATAGACAGTAAATTATTATTGATTATAATTATATTATATGACTTAACAGTACTAACAATTAATATTTGTTTGTTTATCTCATTTTTTTCTTTGACTATGTTTTGTGGTAAACACAGCAAAAAGTCTATCTCTGTTACTTCACTGCCCGATATTCTTGGCCTATAATAATCCATCGAATTGGCGTCAAATACATTAATTTTTTATATATATAAAACTTATTAATTGTAGCAATAATTAGTTACCTAACATTTGTTGTAAATATATAATTTATAATTATACTAATAAGTTAAAATGAAAATTAAAAATAGAGTTAAATATAAAATGTAAACAATAGTAATAATTATAATTCAATGATTAATTTGGTTTTCGTCTCATTTGTCTTTGTTTATCGAAACGCATTTCCATCTCTTCTAACACTTTTGGCGTATATCTGACCACAAGAATCACTTTACCGATGGCTGCTTTCAGCAGTTCGACGGCCTTCTCGTGATTCTCTCCCTCGACGTTAACGCCGTTAACTGATATCAATTGGTCGCCTCTACGCAGTCCTCCGTTTCTATCGGCCACTCCATCGGGAATTATGCGCGATATATAAATAGGAGAGTTCTGTTCGCGACCTCCCATCACATTAAAGCCTAGGCCTTCGTCTGTTTTCGGTAATTCAATGACTCGCGGGTGTGAATGGCCTTCCGATGCGGCGAATACTGACAACATATTATTAAAAGAGCAGTTATTTTGAATCAATTTAATACTAATTTCCAACACAATTGTCATACCGGCAACTGTGGCCTTAGCCGTAGCCGAAGCTCTTATATCGGGACTACCGGTAATATCAACAGTTTCGTAGACCCGTTCGTATACTTCGCGAATGGCGCTAAAGAAGTCGCTTTCGAGGACTTTCTGAAGTGCCGACAATTTCTGAAGCGATACATCACTGCTTGAGATCAAACAAATTAATAATTAAAAACTGAATATAAATATAACATTAAATTCATTGATAATAATGTATATTAAATATCAAGACATCTGATACGCGATACGATTGAATCCATCATAAAAAATGTGTCAATCATTTGCTTCAATAATACCTTTGAATCCATGCATTGTATTCAGTCTTCTGGAGCTTCTGCAGCAAATCAATGGCCCGTTTGATATCGTCGGCTAAGTTGAGTTTGTCGCCCGACGCCGAAGTGGCCATCGTTTTGTTGGTTCCGATCGATTGAAAAACAAGTGAAAACAATAACAACAACAACAATGAAAACACTATTTTATTATTATTTTATTATATTTACTATTATTTAGTCAATTATTTTTGACAAAACAATAATCACTCGTAAAGTACAGTAAAAGCATTGCTTTTGTGCGCAAACTCTCACTAAAAGGTTTTGACAATAATTTTCTAATAATTGAAGTGAAAGTAGTTTTTTCACTCAAAAAGATTTATTCAATTATTAATTTTTAATGAAAGTGTATTCAAAACTATTGTATTTTTACTTTCATTGAAATTAAAGACAATTTGTTTTTTAATTTATTATTATTATTATACACTTTTATCTGACTTTTTTCTTGACAAATAAAATTTCGTATTCAAACAATTTATTTTGAATATTGAAAACCATTAATATGTTAAACATCTGTCCGATAAAAGTTTTATAGTTAATCACGAAATTCGTGATCCGATCACACAATAAGCCACACAATAGTTAATATCGTATAGTTTATGACTTATTTGATTAAAACACACAAAAGATTACAATTTGTTCATAAAATCATTAATAGTATAATAAATTATATTACTTATTGATGCAAAAAACAGGTGCTATCAAGTTATGACAATTTTATTAATGAATCAATTGATATATCGATTGTATGGAATTTTTTAAATCATTTATTTAACTTTATTTCAAACTATTTTTTATGTTATAATATTAAAAATTATTACATTATTATTATTATTACAATTATATTTAAGAAATCAACATAAAAACAGTTACTGTTTTTGACAAATAATTTAAACTATAAATTTCAAAAAACGATTACATTATTAATTTACTGTATAATGTATTAATAAACTGTATATAATTTATATAGACATACTTATTAAAAATGTGATTAAAATAATAAAATTATTTTTGAATTAGTAAAAGTGTAGTAATTAACAGGTTTGTTAAGCACCACCTAATAATATAAATTAATTATATATATAGTCATTATATAAGTCAACTTACAATGATTTGTCTTATTTATAATTTGTTTTTTGAATAAATAGTAAACAATTTGTATAATGTGCACAATTAATGAAGTCATTAATAAATATTAGTTATTAATGACATTAAATATTGTTTTAAAATGAAAAAATGAGTAGCAAATTAAAAATAATGATAATTAACTAAAAATTGCAATTTAAGTGACATTTAAAAAACTCTAACTATTTACAGAAACGTAAGACTTGTCTCCGTCGCCATCACTAGAGTGTGAGTCCGGCGGCGGAACTATAGGTATGGCAGCCTTTGGACGTCTTTGTGGTATTTGTCGGATAGCGTTCTGCTGTTGACTTTGTGTGTCATAATAGGTTACGCCTCCCCTATACAACTCAGACATTTGATGCGGTGACGCCTGTTGTGGTGGTGGAGGGACGTGACCGGGATAGCCAGGTGGGACATGTGATGGTGGAGGAGCGGGAGGAAACTGAGGATAACCGGATGGAAAACTGGGTATATATCCGGTCGGTGGTGGAGGTGGTCCTGTTTGAGGAATAGGTTGTGGCATTTGAGTGGACACAGAAGCTGCTACAACATTGGGAGGTACTGTAGTAGGCATAAAGCGATTATCACCCGTTCCCTGAGGACTTGCTTGTGATATATATCTTTGAGTAATAGGTTGTGGTATTGGTTGGGGCATTGGTTGTTGCATTGTTTGGGGTAATTGTTGAGGCATTGGTTGGGGCATTGGTTGGGGTAATTGTTGTGGCATTGGTTGTTGCATTGTTTGGGGTAATTGTTGGGGCATTGGTTGTTGCATCGGTTGGGTTATTGTTTGCTGTATTTGTTGCGGCAATGGTTGTGTTATATATGTTGGCGGATGTGATTGTGGCGAATCATTAGCATTGGGTGACATATACGGATGATATGTATTCCTCTGCGGTACAGACTGTTCCGTGTAATAAGCTGTTGTCTGTATTGGATGCGATTCATAGAATTGATGCGCATTTATGTTACGATTATCAGGTGTTTGTGACATTTGAGTGTTTGGAGTAATATTAGTAACATTTTCGGCAATATTACCCACTCTTTGTGTTTGTTGTCTTAAAGATGAATACCTTTTGGGTCGAGTTTGTTCACTCTCGGCATTCCTGTTAATTACAGCTGACTTGTCTTCAATCGACAACTTTTGATGAGCACTTGTCTCTGTAATATAATTAGACTCTCTATCTCTTTGATTGACATAATTTTCTTCTTCATAATAGCGATCAGTACTTCTATTGGAATCTTCTAAGTGATAATTTCGACCACTATTTCGATTTCGATAGTTATCTGTTGGTTCTTTCGTGTGACTATATTGTGAATAATTTAAGTTAGAATTTGATTTCCTTATGGGTCGACCCGAGTTCTCCGACATTTCTGCACTCTTTCGTTGATTTCTATTCCTACCATTTCCTCCTACTCTCTCTTCTTCATACTCTTGAATACCCGATGATCTTCTTTGTGATAATTTTGAGTTTTCAAATGTTTGTGTTCTAACAACACTATCACCATAATTAGTAGTTCTGTTATTATGTTCAATGGCTTCTGCTATCTTCATGGGTTCCGTTTTATATTCAGTAATTGATTGTGTATTTTCTAAATTCTTTTGTCCGCCAAAACGAGAACCCGATTTCCAGGCCTCCTGTTGAACGTTCTGTTGATGATTTGAATTAAGTTTTTTACGCAAATCATTATTTGGAAGTTCGGGAAAGTCTTCAGTAGTAAATGTTTGTCCTCTCTTATCAATATTTTCATCACTTCTCTTATCATTCATTGGTCTATCATTTCGGGACATTCCTCTACTTTGATTTTCGTTGATCTTCTCTATTCGATAATTCTTGTCTCTTCTTCCTTCTTGTCTTCTATCTTTTCGTTCACTCCTTTCCTGTCGATCTTCGATACGAGTTTTATCTATTCTGTCGTGTCTTTCTTTAAAATCATCTCTGGATCTGTCTTTGTCTCGATGTACTCTTTCATTAGACCTCATAAGATGCTCTCTATCTCTGTCTCGATCTGTGCGTTCAGATCGAACACTACCGGTATTAGTCAATGGTTTAGTTGTAGGCTTTCCGTATGCATTCTCGTCCTGCCACTGACGGGTGTATTTTGTAGGACCTCTTGTGTACCGATGCTTTCGGCGAGCTTTTGGAGCGTCTTCTTCGTTACGAATATCGTAACCATAAACGTTAACCAATTCATCTTTAGATTTCGGTGTTTGTTCATCTTCTCTGAAAAGGTCGTGACCCCAGCGGTCGCCTTCGTTCCACAATTTTTTCTTTCCGCTAACTTTCTTAGCTATAATGGGAGCCTCTTTTACAACCGGATTATTTACGATCACCACTGGATCTTCTGGAGTCTCGTTTGGCTCATTTATGAGACCTTCTTTTACAGCTTCTGCTGCTTCTTCAGAGGTAACAATTTCAGACATACGATCGTCGTGTTCATAGAAAGGACCTCTTTTAGGAATGTACTGTGGATTACGTTTGTCTTCGTCATGATCTAAATTCTTATCCTTTTGTGCGCTTTGAGACGAAACGCTCTCCTAATTAATCACAAATTACCGGTAATTAATACTTATGACAAATATTGTTATCATTTTAATGACAAACCTCTCCATCTCCCTGTTGTCTCTCATTATCTTCGTCTTCATTTTCTTTACTCATCTTATCTTCATTATCAGTCTCAACAGAAACTTCATCCGAGTCGTCAATATCTTCATATTCGTCGTCATTATCACCCAACTCTTCTCGATCACTGTCATCATTATCGTCAACATCTTCTTCATTCACAATAATTTCTTTAGGCAAATCATTGATCTCTTTTGATGGTTCTTTATCCTCAACATCTTTATCACTATTAATAACCGATTGTTCATTATTTACAATTTCTTTAGTTGATTCACAATTTATTGACTCAACATTATCTACTTTTGGCGAATCATTAACTTTTTCTACAGTTTCGGAATCGTTTGATTCAATTTGCATATCAGTAGACAATTCAGTCTCATCTTTATCTTGTGAGTCATTTTTGGCATCGCTTTCAACCACTGGATCACATTGTTTAGACTTATTGTCCGACTCAACGATGGCATCCTTAAAAACTTCTTCAGTAGATTCTTTTGATTTATCCGACGACTCAGTTGGCAGATCTGATGTCGTGTCCTCAAAACTGTCGGCTCTCTTCACTTCTTCGTCGTCCGCACTTTCATATTCCGATTCGCCGGCGTTTGAGGCAGAAGTACAACGCCTATCCACTTCTGATTCCTGTTAATAAATCAGTTAATAATTAATTATCATATAATTTATATTTAAAAAACTGTTTTAAAATTATAAATAATTTTTAAATCAAAAATAATATACAAATAAATATTTAAATTTAGAAAACTTCTCACCGGAATCACAGAAGTTTCCTAAAAGACAACAACAAATCAAACAAAAAAATAAACAAAATTAAAACAAAATAAAAGTCACAAAAAAATGTGAAAACAATTGTATTGTTTTTCAAGAGAAATAAAAGTAGAAGAAGTGAGAGAGAGATCGCTAGAAGACATGCATTTCATACCAAATCTGATGACTTTATCTCTTGAGAATCGTCGTCCATATCTTTACTTTGGTTTATGTCATCGGCATTAGCTTCGGCGACAATGGCCTCGGATTTAACGACCTGAACGTCGGTGTCATTCAATGGTTGATCATCCGATTGTTTGTCATTAATGACCTCTTTATCGGAATTATCGCACATTTTTGTGTTTACTGTTTGTGTGGATCAGCTCTTGAGCGGCGAATTCTCACATTTACGCATATGATTTGCTGCCAAACGAATAGCGGATAACAATCTATTGGATACAATCCGATGGTTATCACCAAAAAAATGTGGAAACAAACCAATTGTTGTGATAATTATTAAATCAATTGGTATTTCTATTGAATAAAAATAGAGATAACAGTCAATCAATTGATGGCTGAATGCAAACACTGCTATAGTATTGTATATAATATTACTATTTGTCTCATCAATGATACCATAACTATGACTACAGTGTCCACTATAGCGACATCTCGTGTGCACTAAAAGTGTAAACATAACCAACATTTATCTGAACAACAAAACAATTGCAACACATTTACACTACAATAGTATTGGTGGGCGGAGTCAATGCATTAAGTATTTATCGACTATTGGCTAAAACAGATGATAGCAATCGGAGTTTAATGATAGACAAAAATACAGCAATAATTGTTAGATCATGTGATATGTTTTGGCGCTTAAAGTTTTGGTAGATTTGATAGTTGATTGTGGGATCAGTTTGTTGTCCATATTTTCATCAATAGTATCACTGATTATCACCACAAATGTATAGCTACAACAGTCAAAGCCATCCGGAACTGCTTCAGGCCTATTATCGGCGAATTTTTCCTCACAAACTCTTTCATCGATGGCTATCATACGGAAACAGTAAGAATTGTCTCTTTTGTTTTGTTATCAATTCATTGAAGACCTCTTTGATTGACATTTATTTGTTTTATAGTACAAAACGGATATTTCGAAAGAAGAGAGTTTTCTTTTACATTGTCCGGTGATGTGTACGTCAGATACCAGTCATTCTCCGATTGCAATGAATTAGAGAAAGCGATTGTCAGTCGAAATCCCGAGAAGATAGATATCGGAGCCGTCTATAACATTAAGCCTAAAGACTCGAAGAGCATCAGTTTGGTTGCATTCAAAGCCGAGGAAAGGGAACTAGTGTTTGATATCGATATGACTGATTACGATGACGTCAGGACGTGTTGTAAGGGCGCCGATATTTGTCCCAAATGTTGGCCTTTTATGATAATTGCCGCCAAAATACTGGAACGTGCTCTTCGCGTGGATTTCGGTTTCCAACATATGCTTTGGGTTTATTCGGGCCGAAGAGGTATCCATTGTTGGGTAGCGGATGAGAGGGCCCGCAAATTAAGTGGTGAGGCCAGATCTGCTATCGCTGAATATTTGAGTGTTATAGAGGGCGGAGAGTTTAAGGCCAAAAAAGTTTCGTTAGACAGTTATAAAATTCATCCGAGTCTTGAGTTGGCCATTGAAATAATTAATAATCATTTCGATAATATTCTTAAACAACAAAATTTTTTAGAGACTACTAAACAAATTAATGCAATCATAGATCTTTGCACTGACTTTAAACTCAAACAAAAGCTTAAGACAGAACTGTTTGATTCTTCATTGAAGAATTCGGTCACTCGATGGGAGCGATTGGACAGAATATATTGCTTACATGAAAATGAACTCAAAAAATCACGTCTAGCGTCAAGAAATCGTCATTTTGTTGAGGAACTGAAACTTCAATTTTGTTATCCAAGACTTGATATAAATGTAACCAAAGGAGTAAACCATTTGCTTAAGACACCATTCTCTGTTCATCCCAAGACAGGTCGTGTTTGTGTTCCCATAGATTTTGAAAAAATAGATTCATTTGATCCGTTTAAAGTGCCAACAGTAAGCTTATTGTGCAAACAAATGGATGAAAGCAAATCTGCAACAACTGGAAGAGTTTACGAGAATACAGAACTGTTTGATTCGATTCTTGTGTTTAAAAAATTTGTCGATAATATTCATAAAGATTTTAAAGGTTTAAGAATAGAAATGAGTGACCAATCGATGGACTTTTGATTTGATTCTAAGATTTCAGTTTAAATCCAATAATTATTTGTCTTAAAATTTGATTGTATTTTAAATATCTAATATTTAATGAGATGTACATATTTTTATATTTATTTTATTATCTATAATAAAAAAAATGATTATTATGATGATTACCGTATATTTATGTAATTATTTATAAATGTTTAAAAGTAAACTTATCGGTAATTTTAAATCTAAATTTTATTATTTTTAAGTTGTGAATGTAATATTATACATTTTCTTAAATTTATAGAAATTTACAATAATGATAAATTATGTTTTAATATATTTATTCCTCATTGGTTCATAAATTTATATGTAATGCACTAAACTATTTTTAACTATTAATTAACTTTACTATTAATTTACGTAATTAAATAATTTGATATCTTAGACCGTTCTATAAATATATATATCATAGATATTAATTAAAAATGTATTATAACTTAAATCATAATATAATTTGAAGGCCTCGTTTAATTGGTATTAATTTCTATATTATTTGAATTATACACAAATTTTCCGATTTAAATGTTTATGTATTTTGTTATATAAATGAATTATTACTATTACTTGTCACTTATAAATTTACGGTATATAGTATATAGTATTTTATATACTGTATAAACAATTTATACGATAAACGCCGACAATAATACAATTTTAATAACTTGTTTTACTAAATAATTATCGTTTAATTTTCACACAACATATTTATATGTTTTGTAATTAATTATAATTTCAAATTAATACAAATCTTCATATATTTATTACATTCATTACTATTTAATATTATTGTTATATTATACATATTGTACTGTAATTACTGGCAAAAGAAAATTACCGGAAAATTTTTTATATTTGAAAATTATGTTATTAAACTATCAATAAAGTTATTTTGGTTCAATTGGAAATTTTTCAATAATTGACTATTATATTTATTAGCTATTTAACTAAACTAAAACTTGCAAGATAAATATATTGCATATAAAGTATTTATATAATTTTATTTATATTATATTAATATAATAATATTTATTTATTTAATTTTTTAAAATTTTATTACAGATAATTTTAATTCCACATTTTAATTACTGTAATAAAGTAATATACTGTAGTTTTAGCAATTACAATATATTACACATTTATAATGTATTTTTTTTACTGATATTAAACACTATATAGAAATCGCTTTAAAACTTAGTATAGTATAAAAATTAATATTTATTTTTTTATATCTACCTTAAGTATAATTTCTGACAAGACATCGAAAAATTATATAAATGATGAATAAGTTTATTAAATTTCATATCAATAAAAGATAAATATTTTGTAGTCATATTGAATAACAATTTGAAGAATTATTTAAAGAAACATAATTTCTAACAAAATTTACTATTATTTGTAAATTCATTCACAAGTTATTATAAAAACTATTAAGAATCACATTATATTTACATTGTATAATAAAGGTATACTACAATACATAAGCATTATAAAACATTATTGATAATTATAATTAATGTTTTATACATTATACATATAAGTTTATAAGTTGATAATAATTTTTATTATTATAATAATATTTAATTATTTAATTATATATTTGTCTATTTAGATTTTTATTATATTACATGAAATTTTAAATAAATTCTATTGACATTTGTTGCTTATAAGTCAAAAACTTAATTAATTTTTATTATCAACATAAAAGTATAAATTATATTAGATGTACAAAATTTATTTTTAAAAAAATTATTTAAGTTACCACAATACCTAAATGTCTAATAATATATATATATATATATATATAATACAATAGCATTTTGTTAGTTTTCTAAACTATTAAATACTAAATTTAATAAAACGCTTAAATCGTTTATAAATGTTAGTTTTAAAAATCTGTTTTATGCCAAACTTTCATTGATTTTTTTATTACTTTATGATCAGCTGTAATAAAGTTATTATTATATATTATTATTGATAGAAAAATATTATAACTTTTAAATAATATAAAAAGCTAATCACAAATATTAATATTTGACTCTCTCTTTCTTTTTCCTCTCTCTCTCTCTCTCTCTCTCTCTCTCTCTCTCTCTCTCTCTCTCTCATTTACTCACTCTTTCTTTTTTTACTCTTAGCCTTGAATTCTTGAATTAAGGACTCTTTCTTTAAGTAATCAAATGTCTTGAATGGTATCTTAACATCACTTTTGATGGAAATCTAATGGTGTTCTTCACACACAAGTATTTTGAATGACGTCAATGTAATTGTTAACTAATAATCGCATCAAATGAGATGTTTTTTAACGAAAACATTTTTTTATAGAGGAATGACCGATAGCTCAACCCATTTATGGCTTACAGTTTGCATACAATAAAATTTTTTGATATTTTAATATATTGAGCATTGAGTATATACAGTATATATATATAATTTATATATATATATATATATATATATATATATATATATATGTGTGTGTGTGTGTGTGTGTGTGTGTGACTGAGGAGAGAAAGAGCTCAATAAAAAAAAGTTAGTTTAAATTAATTTATATAATTTAAATAAAATAAAAATTTCTTAAGTAAAGTTAATTTAGAAAATTGAATAATTTAAGTTTTAACAATTTAATACAGAAAAATTGAATAATTATAACAATTTCAATGAATAATTGACAAATTACAGTGCTACATGCAGTTTATAATATATATAAGAAAACTTATAAATACCAAATTATATTTATTAAATTAATATATATTAAAAAATAAATGTTTTTATGTAACATGACATTGCATGAAACAATAATATATTTTATTATAAATGTAAATATAATTGTTGGCAATACTATAATATAATGATACAGCTGGTTAATAATCATTTTCCAATTGAATAAGTCTATGACAATTATTATTCAATTCATGCCATTAAAAGTTAAATTTAAAATAAAATTAATTATAAATTATAATTGATTTGAATTAAAATCTAAAAATAGTAACTTTAAATGATATAAAAAACAATTGCTTATCAAATAAAAACAATACTAAAACAATAACAAAATAAATTTAAAATAAAACAAAATTTTCTCTCAAATATTGTTATAACAAGAAATGTTGTGTATTTGATGTATTTTGTGAGCAAAAAAATAATAAAACTTTTATTTTTTAACGGTATAATGTAATTTGTATATATTGTAAGATAAGTAATAAATTAATATAATAATGATTATTGAATATATAAATACAGCATTTAATAAATATTAATATTTCAATACAAAATATATATTAGTATTATTATAAGCTATTTGAAGAATTTATTGTTTAATTCAACGGTTGGGTATGTTTTGATTTGATTGTTGTTGAGCGCCTGGATTGACGTCAAAGGGATGGCAGGATTGGGAACAGTCCTCTCAGTTCTTCCTCATCGTTGTCGTTGTCGTTATTTTTTTATCAAATAATATGTTAATTAAATGTACGCTAAATAGCAAACCAAAATATAATGGGAACTCATATTTTCCTTATTTTTTGTCATCTAATTTATGTAGCTTTTAATCCTTAATACAACAATAATATAGTATAATATCTACTGATAGTTATCGCTATAATTATCATAATATTAATACTGTATTTTTGTTATTTTATTTTTATTCTTTACCCTTACTTGAAGGACAGGTATTTAAAAATTGTTTATTATTTTTATTTGTAGTCAAAGTTTAGTTGTTTTTCAATTATTGTCATTTATATAATTCATAATTGTTTGTCGCGTGAAATTAAATTTTGTTATAAATAAAGTAATGTATTTATTGATAAATATAAATAGTTACCAAAACATTAGTTTATTTTGAATATTAACTTATATTTTCTCGGAATTTCTAATGTTTTATAATAATATTAAATAACAATTTTGCATTTTTATATTAAAATTACAATATAAATGATAAAAAAATATTTATACAACTTGTTTTAAATAATAATAATAATAATAATTTATAATTTTCATATACATAGTGTTAAATAAATTATAAAACAACTTAAATATGTTGAATAATTTATTTATGACATTTAATTACATGTTTTTTGGTGTCGTCCGATAAAACACATGATTACAAACAACAGTGCCGTCAATTTTGACTCTATTTAACGCTAATTACACATATACTTACGTAAGCTCTATACTATTCAAACATATATTTAATAATTAAAAATTAAATATAAATAATATTAAACTTTTAAATATATTTTCTATGTCATAAACTTTTTATTAAATATATAACTGAAAATTTATCAATTCAAATTGCATCTGTTTTGAAGGCAAATATGTTTTTAGGTGTATTTAAATAAACTATTTATATTCAACTATTATTTAATACCTTTAGTTAAATGTAGTGCTTGTATATATATATATATATATATATATATATATATTACAAATATTATACTGTATTTACTAAAACACTATCATACTATATATTTTATTTGCTTAAAAAACTTTTTATAGACTACATGACTACGTATAACAATGAATCGCAAAAATATTTTAGTTATATTTTACTGTATTATCAATAAATTTGCAGATATTTATTGTAATTTATTTCTATAAGTTTGTGATAAAATAATTTTTTAATAGATATTTAGCTCACTATCACTCACTCACACACTCTATACTACTATTGTATTGTGTGTGTGTTTGTCACCCGCTTTCAAACTTATATAAACTCCAAAGTTTTAACGTGTATTTTCTCTCAACAGTTATATATACTGTTAATTATAATCTAATAAATACAGTCATACAGTTGTAATAACACTTCAAAAAAGCTAATCAATTAAAGTCATTGTTGAGAGAGAGAGAGAGAAGAGAGAGAAAAATATCTGCAATTGAATTATGAAATACCAATCAAGAGTTGTGAGGAATTGAAAAGACAGGACAAGGAGTTGGAAGCCTTCAGATGAGGGAAAACATCACTCATTCGTAAGTCTCTTCTTTCATATGTC